GGCTAGAGAATAACTGGCCTCTGTTTCCCAACAACAGCAAACTTTTAGAACTCTATTCTGAATATGGTTTTCTTTTACTAATAAGCTGTATCAAACCATGACCCCTCAAAGTGTCATGGCAGTTTATATTCTTAATACTTGTTTTATTCTTAAGTTGTATCCGTTCCCTTCTGTAATACATGGCTTACTTCTCTTTGTTGGCCAGTAGCATTTATAAAAATAAACATATTCAAAGACCAATGGAGTACACATCATACTGGATTATGAAAAGGCTATACTGTTCTTTATTATGAGGAATTTATGTAGCCTTTAATTCTGTTGGTGAAAGTACCAGCCTTACTTTCTTAAGGCTTTGGCAGCAAAACAATAATGAAAGTGGTCTTGAAGGTTCTTTCCTTTTCCTTAGTAGGGCAGGCTGGCTTGTTTTCCTTGTTATAATGAAGATTTGATTATGGACCCACACTTTCTCAACTGTCAAACATGGGGGAAAGTTGTGGCGGACTGAAAAAAATGCTGCTCCTATCTACCTACCAGAAGAGTTGCCAGAGGAGGCAGTGACTAGTTGTGCTTCTCCTTTAAACATCTTGCTTGGTGGAGAACTGTGCAAGAGAGAGGGAATATGTGGGAGGTGGTCCAGAATGTGAGAGGGAAAAGAGATGGAGAGGGGAATGAGTTTTCCCGGCAGAAAAGGGAAACAAAAGGAATTTTTATTTATTTATTTATTTTTGCTTTCTTTAAAGTAAGTTTCTACAATCACTGGAAATGGTCGTTTCAAAAGAGTCCTTTAGTGTGTTGAGGCTCAAACATATCAGTGCTTTGGGCAGATTGTGACCTTGGTGACTATCCATGCCTTTTATGGCACTGCTCCAAAATCAGCCTAGATATGGAGCCGTATACTGTAAATTAATTAAATACATTGTGGCTGTGCCTAGGAGAGTTTTAAATTGCCAAATGTACTCATGGGCCCCAAAAGACTGCCTACTTTGACACAAGCCACATTATCTTAAACCCAGAGTGAGCCTTCCAGGTTTTTTGTGCTACAGCGCCTATCAACCCTTTGCAGCACAGCTAATAACAAGGGATTATGGGAGTTGTAGGCTAGAATTTCTGGGGGGGGGGGGGTCCCATGTTGCCCATGCCTGGCTTGCACCTTTCATTGTATTCAGACCTACTCTGAACTTTTCCTACCTTGTGAATATTCTTGATCCTCTTGTGGCTCTTGCATACACATTTTGGGCTTTTGTAACAAGAGCCTGCTGTAATGTGCATTTAGGTAGTTTGCTACTTAACAGTGCTTGGAGATGGAAGCAAGACCCTACTTTAAGGATAAAGTGCCCAGGAAACGTAACACAAAAATGAAGTGTGTGTTTAAGTCATAGCTAGTTACAGATTTGAATTTATGAAAGGGGGACCCCCTGCATATGTTTCACAGTGACATATCTAACAATTTACACTGTGTAAATGCTATTTCCACTATTAAATGGAGATTGAGTTTTAAATAAGGAAGGATGTTCTATCTTCTGTTTCCGTTACAACATCCTGAGTTCTGCAGCTAGTTATAAAAGGCTGGTGCTTTCAGAGTGGTAAACTGAACTGTTTCTATATTAGAATGCTGTGCTTCATCTTTGAAAGAAACTGTTTATGGGGTGGAGTTGGTGGGGAATCCCTTGGAAAGTAACGTGCAGCTATGATGGTGGTTGAGCTTCTTTAAAGTAAACCTGCGCAAGTAAACACCAGAGGTGCTGGGAGTTGAAGTCCAAAACATCTAAAGATCTACTTTCTGTCCTGAGTTTACATTAAACTTCCTCTTCCAGTCAGGGTGGATTAATTAAAATCAAAGTGACCTGCTTCAACAAGAAAAAAGGATTGACTGACTGATTGAACTTTATAGAAGATTCTAGCTCTATTAATCTCTGATCTTGTGGACATTTGTTTTATTACATTCCAGAATACTTTAATGGACAGTTGATATGAGTTTAGCTTTCTGTAGGGAACCAATTAATTCCTCCAACAGTGCAAGAGGCACTGATAGGCCATATCTAGACTCCAGCAAATGCTGAAGCTTGAAGTACCCTCACATAAAATAAAAATGCCCATGACTGGTAGGTCATATCATAGTTTGATAGTTACTGGGCAGAAAAGACACACAGTTTATTCTTAAAACTAGGTATTTCTGGGGATCTTTTCAAAACATCAGTTTATATTCACCCTAGTATATTCTCTCTCTGCCTTTATGAACTCATCTGCTTTCCTTGGTCCAACTCCTCCACTACAGAAATACAGAATAACAGCCTTGTCTGACCTGTGTCTTTATATATGTGTCAGAAAAATTGAAAGCACAGAGCTTTCAAGAAGCAGGAGCTGATTAGTTAAGCTGGAGAGACCCATTTTCATGAGCTGAAAAATTGAAATAGATGCCTTGGTAGTTTAGCTTCATTGTTAGGAGACTATAAGTATAGGTTTAGCATATTTATGATGAGATTTTATTATTGTTAAGCTAATCTTAAGTGAGAGATGAATGTAATATTTCTGAAAAAACATTGATTTTTTTTATCCACCCTAATCTAACAGTTTGCCTCTTGGAGTGGATAGCAGCTTGTGGGTGGGGGTAGGAGAGGTTTTTCAGTCCTGATTAGGCTTCAGCTTTCATCTTAAGAGGAAAAACAGGCCTCATTAAATGCATGCATATATTTCACATATTAAGTATTTTGGCCACGAGAACCTCTTCAACTTTACCAGCCCCCCTTCCTCTGTTTCCATGGAAACAAGGAGCTCACATTGGTGATCCCTTATGAGGAAACTGACAGGCTGCAATCCTGGTCTCTCTTGAGTATTACTGTAATAAGAGACTGCATACAGACTAAGGCCATCACATAGCAGTCTTAGTTGAAGTGTAGCTGCTAAAAATAACCTTCCTCTCAACCACAAATGTTCCAACATAAAAGAAACAGTTGCTTTACTTCCCACCAATTTGGTTAGATTAATAACTGACTTGGCTCTCAACTCTGTAGGAATTTTCACTTCATGTCTAATACCCGCAAAGAGAAAGAATTCTCTTTCTAGACTGATAAAGCTTAATGTCTGGTTGCCAGATTTCTACTGACACGTTCAGCCACATCATAAAAAATAAAATATTCTCAATTTCCCAAGCAGACTTTAAAATAATATTTCTGGTTAATTCAACCTATGCATCAAGAAAGCTCAGTGATAGCCAATAGCACATATGGAATGTGAAAATGTATAGCAAGCCACTTTAAAAGTTTACTGTTTCACAGTCTGTGCACATGGAAAATGTTGTAGGGTTCCCTGGCTTCCTGTCGTCGTTCTTCTAGATAGTACCATTTCCTTGAAAAGATATTTGCTAATAGAAGGCAAGTTTTCATTCAATATTATATATTTGTATAAGGTTAAACCAGAAAAAAGCAGGACAAGTATCCCTGTTAGCTTAATTGTAAGACATGATGTTTACACAATGCTATATATGTAGGATTTTCTCTGTTGCAAATTTCCCCCATTTTAAAGGAGTATGGCAAAAAAATCACCAAGTGTGTGGGTAGTTTGTGCTTCTGTTTGGTGTACACTTTCTTAGCTGGAAAGGAAACTCCTCTTGGTCATTTAGAGTGGAAATTTTTCCAGTAATTTATTTTTTTGTGGAAATTGTGTAGTGAATGGATGCCAGTTGCAAATACAGTATTAGGCAAGTGTGGCAGTTGTAGAGTTGCGATTAATGATCATCAGATGATTGTCCCTAGCAAATATGTGAGAAGATAACCTATGTAGTGTGTGTCTGTTGGGGGGGGGGGGGATAGGACTAATAGGTAGTGAAACCAAAACTGAAGATCCCCAACAACCTCAGTGAAGAATGCTAAATTGTGTTGAAATAGATAAAATGGTTTCAGGATATTGTGCTTACTTTTGGGCGGTTCTAAAATGGTTTTTACTTACATTAAAACAATTAAGGGAAATGCATTGTCATTAAATGTTATAATTTTACAGGAATTCCAGTAAAATCTCTGTAAAATGTAATACTAACTCTGCTTCAATTCCCATCCTGAAGATTTCAGGTCAAATACTTTTGGTCCGTTCAAATAAAACATTAACGCTGGAGGGGGGTTGTTTACTAAATTCAAATAAAATAAACAAATTTGTTAAGTTTGAGTAGTGTCTAGGGTATCAGAAAATTTTTGAACTCAATTGTTCTATGGTGGTGCCCTGGCCCTGGCACCTACATCCCAAAGAGCAGTGCCTGGCACTGACCCTTTATTCATTTTGGTGCCAGGCCAAAACATTTTTATTTTCCCATGGTTTTAATATTGGTTTTATTAGACATTTATATTCTATTTTGTATGGTGCCACTACTGTTTTGTATCACCATCCTGCGACTTTTGTATAGGATGGGATAAAAATGCTCCAAATAAAATTTCCAGAAAACCAACACTGTTTCCTCGGGGGTATTGAGTCCTTCTACTTTGCAGCAGGGGATATGGACATGTTCCCTTTTTGGATGAGACACAAATACAGTGATTAGCAAAAGTATGAAATTCTTTAACACATGAAAGAATTTTAAGGCAATTTTAGTTTCATACATATCACATGATGAACTTTTAAAGGTAATGCTGCCCAGGATTGTATATGGTATCGGTTCCTTATCCTTTTAGATTACTGAAGACATGCTCTTTTTATCACATCTTACATAGTTTCAGACCATTGCTTGATTTTCAGATGTTTGATTTTAGTCAGATTATAAATGGCAAGCCTTGTTGAAATACTGAAAGACTAAAAATGGAACTGACAGTCTGGTTGGTGTGTATTTAATTATTTCATTGGATTTCCTAATTTAGAAAATTAAGTTACTTACTCTCCACCTCTGTCTACTTCAACTAATGGAGTAGAATGCAGGAGAGTACTTAGAAACTAACTAGTAAAGCAAGCTTTAAAAGGTATGTCAAGTACATGTTGTTCAGAAATATAACCTTTTCAATCTCCTCCTCTTCCCCCAGGTTTTGAATGAAGAATGTGATCAGAATTGGTACAAGGCAGAACTCAATGGCAAAGATGGCTTTATTCCCAAAAACTATATTGAAATGAAACCACATTCGTAAGTAAAATATCACAACTAACTTGTGTGTTTGGCATACTTACTGCCTGACAAGGTGTGATGGGTAAGGACTTGAAAGAAGAGATCCACACTGCAGTTCCTCTATTAAAATTCACTGTAAACAGTGATACAGAAGTGATTTTGCAAAGAAAAAAATAAGACTTAACAGATGTAGTTTAGTAATCAGAATTTTACAAAAAAAAAAAAAACCCCCTAAGTAACTATTCTGTCAGAATTCCTTGCTAGGCAGCACTTGGCATTGATGTGGAAAATTCTGGGCCTTATAAATGTCAGTACAGAACAATAACTGTGCCTTCTGTATCTGTGCAGCATAAAATCATTTTGCATGTCTCTCATTTTCATATACATGGGAGCCATGAATACCGCTGTATGCAAATAGTGCCATTCAGATATACTCTGACCATACTATGGGTGGCAGAGATGGCATCAAGTTAAATTTAACCTAGAATGAGGCTCGTAGTAGTGCCTGTTATTGATACTGGCAGCAAGGGAAAGGGGCATGTGAACTTGCACTCCTAATGAATGCATCCATTGCAAGTCTTGCAGAATCAGCAGATGGTTTTTGCTGCAGTTTTGCCTGAGCAGACCTCACTCAGCATAATATTTAATTCCATTGTAACAAAAGTCAAGCTTTTGGTTATTCAAAGGGAAATATTTGAGAATGGTGCACACTTCATTGGTCTAAAATATTTGCCTGCACTTTTTCATGAATGAAAATGTTGTTCTTGTTGAGCCTATAGAAAACCTTAATGTGCTCTTTGTTGGCTATGTAGTGCACTTTCTTTGAAAAAAAATAGATGTGCCAGCTTATGTCCTCTTGCTTTCAACTGATTTTAGGCAATAATTCGCTGCATGAAATAATACATGGTCTCAGTACTTAGGATGTTTAATGAAAACAAGATCCTGTTTGTTAAAAACTTGCATAGAAATAATCGCTGGAAAAATCTTTTAAATGAAGGCCTGTATGAAAAGAAGCACACATAATTGTTGTGAAATGTCAGCACTGAAACTTTTTCACTAAAGAAATAGTTCCAGTGGAAATCTAATTTTAAAATCCAACTTTGCCATTCCTTTTCTGTACCTTCTGCTTACATCATCATCTTTTGCTCTACCCCAGCAAATGCTTTTGAGTCTCCTAGTCTATAAGCTGCCCTTGGTTTCTTTCTTTGATGAACTTCTCACTCAATACAACTGCCATTTTTCTTAAGGAACTGGATAGAGCTTGTAAAATGGTGTGTCTTTCTCTGCTTGCAAAAAAGACACATCTACAAGGAGTGATTTTAACTGACCTTACTGTTAGGCCATACTGTACCAAAGCAACAAATTAAAAATACACAATGCAATGAAATATAAAATACAGCATTAAAAACAAAGCAAACAAAGCAAGCATTAATATGGTCTCATCGAGACTGGTGGAATTTCATCTGTATAAGTGGACTATGAGTACATGCCTAGGTATAATAATAGCTTATAACCTGACTCTTCAGTCAGGAGGAAGGAGCCTTTTTTCTGTTCGAGGCTACATTATCTTGAGGTAGTCCTTTATTGTATGCTATGGTTTGCCCTGGCACCATTGTTATCTGTCTGTGAGGTTGATTGGAGGCTCCATGGATCATAGGGTCCTGGACCTCGAACCTGTATTCTGACCCTAGTGGTACCACTCCCCCTCCCCAATTAATATCCCATGCAGAGCTCATTCCAAATCATTTTTGCCATTGTCCGGGGTTAAGATTTTGCTTTCCATGCCAAGACAAGTGAGGGGAATGACTGGGGTGGAGGGAGAAATTGCTGAAGAGTGAGAGACAAACATTGGCTCCACATTGTGTTGAGAAACATTAGAAAACAATCTGGAAGATGAACGGAACAGCAGTAGGTAGCTTGAGCCAAACATACAGAGGCACAAAAACACAAGTATGTGTATGGGTTTCTGAGAAAACTTCCCCATTAGAAACGGGTGATTGTGCAATGTTTGCCAATCAAGAACAGATAGATTACTTGTGATAAGACCAAAGATGAAAGGCCAGAACTAGGTAGCAGCCATTGTAGGCTGAATCTAGTCTGGGAGTCAGCAGTTCCCTATCCTTGCTTTAGCCCTTATTCAAGTATTTAAGTAGATAAAGAGTGATATAAGCAAAAGACAGGTGCATCCTTTCTGCAGCTTACTAAGCAGGGCATGACTAAGAGTGGAGGACTATGCACAAGTATACTCTTAGTTACTTAATTTCTGCATGAAATCAAAGTGAGGCTGTCAAGCAGGTTAAAGAAATTACCGCTATGATCATAATTGTGCCCTTGTCTCCCAGAATCCTCCAAACCTGGAGGCCTCTGCCTTGCTGGGCTCAAGTTGGCAGGACAGGCTGAGTGGAAGAGGCTATCTTCAGCTCCCTGTCCTTTGATTGCCAATATTTTTTTTTATGGATGGGCTTTTCAGGAGGTCCAGCATGAGAGCTTTGAAGGAGGAGCAAAGGAGGCTGGAAGAGACTTAGGGTAACTTATACCCTCACCAGTGTCCTCCTCTCCAAGGCAGCGTCAGAGAGGCGGCCTTTGTAATTCTTTGCCTGCCAGCTGTAGGGGGCGGATTCTGGAGTTGGATGCCCAGCTCCCTTCCAAGGATGGAGCACTGTCTCCAACACTGGAGAGCTTTTACAACCAATCCTGTGGTCTCTGGGATACTTACCTAGGGACCAGAAGATTTACCCTTTTATTAATTGTCAGCTTTCCAAGTAGTTAATTTATTGGTTACATGTATATTTGTATGTTACCAAAATGTCAGTATAGGTACTGTTTTGAAACACTGAATGCAGTTTTAAAAATGTAGTAAGCATAAGCTCTCACTTGTTGTTTGGCCTTCTACAAAAATGCTTCCCTGTGTAACAAACAGGAGCCTTTATTGTGCTTCTTAGAGTGATACCAGTGTTGCAGTGTTCCCACATCATCATCATCATCATCATCATTATTATTATTACATTTCTATGCCGCTCCTTGCCGAAGCCTCGGGGCGGCTTACAATAAAATACATTGACATCACTCTCCCAAGCTCAGAAAAATATGTAAATTTTATGACTGTCTTTTGTATGTTGTAGAGATTGTCCACATATACTTCTAAACTTATTGGAAATGTTAAAATCAGACTAAAACACAACATATGATAAATTTATTCCTGTGTTGGCTTATGTTAATTTAGCAAACCCATCCAGTAGATCAGAGATACTTTGAAATGAAGAAAAATGATTTTGCTTTTTGATCCAACATAAGAAATGTCTTTTGTTGAAATTGGGACATACCTTATTTCATGATATCTGGTTATTTAAAAAAGGTATTTTTTAGGTATCATAAATTACCTAAATTTATGATACCTTTTTTAGATATCATAAAGTAGCCTAGAAAGCCCCATGTTTAAGGGAGATGAATACATCACAAAATCAGCCTATCTTTTTATTTAATGCAGTGTGTTATCTTTGGCTTTCAAACAGTTTGCTTTGCCAAATGGTAAAAGAGCACTGTGTGGTTTTGAATTGGGTGACTCTAGTAATAAGGAAGCATGCCTACAATTATATTCTATTGACATGTTTCACATGCTGAATGTGAAACTAATTGAGCTCTGCGTAACATGGCTCCATAGTGACTGGCCACAAACCTATTTGGGGCTTCCTTGGTGGTGATTGGCTGAATTTGTGGTTGCAAAATTTGAGCCAGAAACAGGCCACCATGCTCATGGAAAGGGAGCGATGGAACCATGTTAACACATTGGCTGTGAATCCTAGATCTGCATGTATACCAAGACTTTTAAACAGAAATTACCAGTATAGTTCCCTTTCAAGACTAGTTCATGTAAAAAATGTGTCCAGGCAAATGCAAAATGTCATTTTCTGATCTAAGTCAGATATGCATGCAGCTGCTTCTTTGGCAACCCGGGGGCAACCCAGGCTGTGTATAGAGATCTAAATGTAACATGGCCTTCTTTTTTGATTCACATAGATGGGTAATCAACCTGTGCACTTGCTTGTTCAACTTCCCCAGCAAGCATCATGGAAAACACACCTGGGCACCAGTCTCTGACATTGCTAGCACCAGTCCTCCCTGTATCAGCAGGTCTGGCTGTACTAATTCTTGTCCTTAAACTCAAAACCGGCTGTTCAGTTGCTGCAGTCAATCCTGAGCAGGTCAAACAGACCAAGTCCCAAAATAAGCAACCTGTAAATAACTGGACTCTGGTACCAAAGCAAAAGAATGAAAAGACTATTTGTCAAAAAAGACAAATCAAACCTTAACACACCCTGGTCCCAATCCAACCACCCAGGGCTAGGATGGCCCCACAAATGCTATTGTGTCTGCCTGCACTGCTCCTGGAAAAGCTACAAATTCCATGTGGTCATAAGTTCAGAAATGATATCCATCCCTCAACTTGGTGAGTCCCAACAAGACTTCTCAGCAGACCCATGTTATCTACCTTAGGACAAATATCCCCAGAAATATGATTGCCTCAGTATCAATTCACCCCACCCAACTTGATATGCCTCTTCAAAGAGCTTCATTTAGCTTTGCTACATGACATGGAACTGGCTGTGTGCTATTATGAGTACCATTCATCACCTAGAGAGAATTATTACTATAAGGATACACAGTGTCCATGTTACCATCCATGTTAGCACTCCTGCTCTCCACATCTGTGACACCCTAAATAAACACCCTCTCATACAGTATCCAAACCACCAGAAGCCCAGTCTCTGCTTCTGTCCCGCCAGATTTAATGAGCCTACTGCTCCATCTCCACCCTCCTCTTCAGCTAAACTTTTTGAGGATATCATGGGAGGACAGGGGACCTGCTTGACCCACTACCAGCCATGTGATCACAGTCAGCAGTTCAGCTTGCTTAACCACCTCTGCCTCCCAACAGTGCAACACCAACCAACGACCCATCATCAGTGAAATTACTACTCTGACTCTGTTGCTGATTCTGTCCAACTTTTCATATCCTCTCCATTTGCCACAGGGAAGGGATCAAAACTCTTTCTCCTTCAGTTCCGTGGTGTCAGGCCCTATGCCAGGCAAGTTTAAGAATGGCCAACTCTCTTCACCAGAAAATCAGAGTTCTGCAAGCCTCTGCTATGGACTCAGTGTTCCACATGGTACAATCTGACCTGGCACCTTCAGTCACTATTCCAGTGCTCCTTGTCTTAATCCATATAAGTAGGCAGTTGGGGACAAACCTGTCCACTCTGTTACCATTGTCTTGCAAAATAGAGGACCTCTTTAGAGTCCAAGAAGCCTTCCTCTCCAAGCATGCTACTCCAAATTTTACAACAGTGGTGGCATCACTTGTAGCGATATTCCAAACTGAAGCACAAAGGCTAGCAAGTCAACAAATTAAAACATCCTGCCTTATGGCTGAACACAGTTCAAAATCTATCACAGCTGCCATTTCCCTTAGGGCTTTGCACCTCAAGCCTTTACCAAGAAGCAAAGTCAAGAATAGAAGGCCTCTCATGATGATATGATGATTATATGAGATTATTCAGAGCATTCACAGACAACATGCTAGATCAGATCCAGAAAGTGAAAATGTCTGCCCTTAAAATGGGAATAGCCTCTCAGTCATTGGCAACTTCCACCTAACCACTCGTGCCAATACTGGCAATGTCAATGGCTGCCTTGTTACTCTCCTGAATCAGGATTGAACAGAGCTCCTAAAGAGAGATCCTACCCCTCCCTCCAGTAAAAATGAAACTTCCAAAATAAATACAACCTCCTTGTGACAAGAACCCTGACAAAACTAAACTGTGTCTTTGGCCTCACTACAGTGCCCGCTTCAAGAACATAAAAGCCATACCGGATCAGACCAGTGGTTCATTCAATCCAGCATTCTGATCACATAGTGGCAAATGAGCTGTCCACAAGATCCCGCAGGCAGGATATGAGTTTTACACCCCTTTCCTGCCAGAGTTACCCAGCAGCTGATATACATAGGCATATTGACATACATAGGCATAGGTAACACACAGCCATCAAGCATAGCAACCATCAATAGATAGCCTTCTCTATGAATTTGGCCAGTCCCTTTTTAAAGTTGTCAGAGTTGGTGGCCATCAATACATCTTATGGAAGTGAATTTCATAGCTTCACTATATGCTGTGGGCAGAAATGCTTCCTTTTATCTGTCCTGAATTTCCCTGGGATGGCTCCAGGTTTTAAGGGAGAGAGGGGGAAATGTCTCCTGCTCCATGTTCTCCACCTCACCTTCTTAATTATGAGCACCTCCATCATGTCTCCCTTTCCCCATCTTTTTCTAAGCAAATAACTTTACTTAGAACAGAGGAATTGCAATAACCCCTTCGTCTCTGCATTTTTTCCAGTTCTGCAGTGTCCTTTTCCATGCAGTAACTAGAAATGTACACAATACTCTATAGTGTGGTTGCACTATTGATTTTTCTGAGAGGAATATGATCTCATTGGTTTTAAATTTCTATCACAAATTACGCCTAACATGGAGTTAGCCTTTTCACAGCAGCTATGTAGTAGACCAATATTTTCATCAAGCTATCAACTACAATCAAAGAGCTCTTTCATGGTCAGTCACTTCTAGCTCCAGTCCCACCAACTTAAAGATGAGATTTTTGCCACAACATGCATTACTTTGTACTTGCTTCACTGAACCACTTTTGCCATTTGATGCCCATTCTCCTAATTTCTATTCTTTAACCAGTTACTGATCTATAAGATGTTTTATTCTGTTACTGCTGAGTTCGCCAGGAGCCTTTGCCGAGGGTCTATGTCAAAAGAAGTCCAAGTGAACAATGTCTGTCAGATCACCCCTCTCAGTTTGTTTACTGACACTCTCAGAGAACTCTAAAAGGTTAGTGAGACAGGACTTTCCTTTGCAGAAGCCATCTTGATACTTTTTCAGCAGGGCTTGTCTCTGTATATGCTTAATAATAATATATTTAACAATGCTTTCAACCAATTTACCTAGAACAGATATAAAGCTAACCAACCTGAAATCTTCCAGATCCCCCGGATCCCTTTAAAAAGATCAATGTTACATGGCCATTCTTCAGTCCTCTGGTACTGAAGCTGAGTTCAGGGACAAGTACATGTGTAAAGCCCACATGTATATTTCGCAGTTGACCACTGAAAGAAGCAGTTAATATACAACCTGGAAGCAAATTCTTTCAGATCTGTGGATCTGATCACTCTTATCTGAAATACTGATACAGGAGTTAAGAAATATTGCAGAAATGCTCTGTTGCATTTGAAAGACTAAGTCATGTGTGATAAATATGAAAACAAACCCTGCTTTGTGGCAATTCTCTCATTCAAAAAAGGAATTGGAAGATGATAGATGAAGCTCTCTTTGTGGCAGAAGGCAGGGAATCAATCCACTGTATGTTATTTTCATTGTGTCTAGTAAGAGTTAGGTTTTTCAAAATCTTAGGAAGTATAATGAATGACAGATTTTCATACAGATATCTTTCAGCAGAAGAAAGGAGAGGTATTTGCTACCTAACATTGGTACAGGTTCTCAAATGTTCAAAGTGGTTCACATGTAATAAAGTAGAATATCCCTTTAAGATAAGGCAAGATTATTCCTCTACTACAGTACAATGTGGTGGTGATACTGAAACGGGGGACAAAGCTGAACACTATACTATTACATCCTCTTAGTACTCAAGATGGATTTGTGTGATTCACCCTCAAAAAAGGCTCATCAGTCACATAATTTGATAAAATTCACTCCTTCTCTCAAGGCCTCTGTGCCCAGGGTTCCCCACACTCCTTAGATTAGGGATCCTCAAACTTTTTAAACGGGGGGGCAGTTCAGTGTCCCTCAGACTGTTGGTGGGGGGTGAGGGGTGGACTATAGTTTGAAAAAAAATGAAAAAATTCCTATGCTCACTGCACATAAAAAAATAATTAAAAATTTAAAAAATGTTTGCTCCGCTCCCTCAAGGTGCAGCAGAAGCCCAAGATGAGGTGGGGAAGAGCATGTTCATATTCAAGGGACATAGCTACAACACAACCAAGGCAATAAATATAGTATTTTGCATAATGCAGCTGATGACTGCAACTGGCGTTTACAAAGAATGCAGCAAAAATACTAAGGATGCATACTATTAATGCCACTCTTAGTATTTGAAGCAAGTCAGCCCAGAACAATTCCCACCATACACAATAGCTGTATTTGGATGCAGAGCTAATGACTACCATATTTTAAGTGCAACCTTGCCAAAACTGGTACTGTCCAGATGAGTTGGACTACAACTTCCATTGGCCATGCTGGTTGGGCATGATGGAAATTATAGTCCTCGCTGCCACCCCAGTTCCGCAAGAGCAGGAGACTAGAGAGGCAAGTGCAGGGTGGCTCTGAGGTAAGGGTTTCTTTCCGAGGCAAGGGGAGGTGAGGGCCTTGATTGTGGCGGCAGCCCCCGGGCTCAGCGAGGGAGCCGTGGTTTGGCCTGCAGCCCTGGGACATGGCTCACATACTTAAAAATGGATTTAAAAAGTTGTATTTTTCTTACCTTCAATCCTTTTTTAGTGTCTCCGTCTCTCTCTGTCTCCCTCTCTCTCTCTCCTGCCCTCCTCTCCTCTCTTCTGTTTCCCACTCCATATTCCTACTCTGTATATGCATGCAATGGGGGAGGGGGGATCCAGCGCACGCGCAGTTGAGCTGTTACAATTAGATGCATTCGCCAGCTCTCTGCTCAGTTTCAAAGAAGGCCTGCTCAGAGCTTTTGGACTTGCTTGCAGATTGTTTTCTCCGAACAAGTCCAAAAATTCTGAGGTGGGCCAGATAAATGAGCATGGCGGGCCATATCTTGCCTGCGGGCCGTAGTTTGAGGGCCCATGCCATAGATCATTAGCCCAAGGTATATTATGGACAAAACCTTCCTAAAATAGTAAACCACTGTTGGCACTGATGGGGCAAACTGAAATGGCACACATTCTAACTTCTCTAAAAGCCATGGTTTGATTGTTAATAGAGTGATTTTTGTCTTTTTTTGGTGGAGATGTTTTATTAAAAACTATTATTTCATCATCAGGGAAGGGTTTCCCAAGAATTTATAACTTGATAATCATAAATCCCACTGCTGTAGGTAAAATACACTGGCAAAATGGGCCTGTATGTGTTTTGCCCAGGATGGAAATATGTCTGAGTAACACCTGGATTTTATATTTCAAAATAGGGAATTTCCTGATCCAAGCTCCCTTCTCCCCCATTTCACCTTGACTTCGAACACGCACACACCATGAGTACACTCGTTAAGCCAGTTCCCCCGCTCCCATTCCCCATACTGCCAAACCTGCTTTTGTAACATCTTGCCTGATGAAGAGGTCTGAAGTGTGCCCATTTTTGCTGAAATAATAAAGGTAATACACTAATGTGGATTTTGTTTTATGTTAAATTGCTCGCTAGCTCTGAACATGTTCAAAGTTTGCCCTCCCCATAGAGTTTGAATTGAGCTTAATTTTCAAGTATCTATTTGCACAGGTGGTTTTTTGGAAAGATCCCCCGAGCAAAGGCTGAGGAAATGTTGGGCAAACAAAGACACGATGGTGCCTTCCTCATCAGGGAGAGTGAGAGTGCTCCTGGAGACTTCTCCCTCTCTGTTAAGTGAGTATTACACAATTTATACTCAAACCCCGGTGAACTGAACTCATCTGAATTATTCCCCTAAATTATATTACTGGTTTATGTCACAAAACTAGTCCTTTATTCTCTGCCTCAAAACCCTGAGACTTCTGATGCAATTAGCAGAGGCTTGACTTGAATAAGAAAGTGGACTTAGTTTGAATGGTGGTAAAGCAGTGATATGGGTGCTAATTGATTGACCTGCTTGTTCTTTTCCCCTGCTACTGAGTGCTTTCCTTTTTGAAATACAGGCTTTTTTTCGTTACTGCTCTTGCCATTAGGATTGGTGAAGTGCCACTTGATTTTCAAAATGTTAATACACTGGCTTTATTACACAGGTTATCATATAGGCCTCTTATCTCAAGAGGTAACCTGTAGCGAGATTCTACCCAAATAAGATGCATTAGCCACAGGAAAAATCCATTCAGAAGAAGTATGGCTGTAAGAATTGAGTATATAAATAGAAAATCACATGTACACTGCCAGTTCAGGTCAGGATAGTGCAAGAACTGCTATACAGATTTTCTTAAACTTAAGTCCTTAGAAAACACTACTTTGTAGTATTGAAGGCTTTCCTGACTATTGAGATGTAATAGTTTGGGGGTGCTTTTTTGGATCTTGTGACTAGTCCTCAGGTCTGACAGTTCAAAGTGTTAGTTTCAGGCTTTATTTCATACACTGTAATTGGTAAACCCTTTGGGCAAGTGAGAATCTCAAGAATTTGGAATAACCAGGCCAAGAGATTAATGGGACCTCCATTTCAAAGAGGTTACACTTTCAGTCCAAAATCAGTTTATGCATTTATTGTCATTGAGCTTCATGGATGCTCATCAGCTGCCTCTTGCACAGTATTGCCACCTGCTGTTCAAAAGTCCCTTAAATCCATATTTTATATCACCGCTATAGGTATTTTTAGCTATGTATATATACAGTTTTCTTTTCCTTTATTATTTACCAATAGAAGGCATCTCATGCATCTGGTTTAAAAGTTAGAAGAACAGATAAGTACCGTAATATTCTTCTCTTCTTAGGTTTGGAAATGATGTGCAGCACTTCAAGGTGCTTCGAGATGGGGCTGGCAAATACTTCCTCTGGGTAGTAAAATTCAATTCTCTGAATGAGTTGGTTGACTATCACAGATCAACCTCTGTTTCCAGGAATCAACAGATATTCCTCCGGGACATTGAGCAGGTGCCTCAGGTAAAGTAGAATTACTAAAGTTCTGGCCTGTTTGCATTTCTGTAGCCTCAAAGCTAATCTTAAATGCAGTGTCAGCTTGTGATCACTCTGACTCATGGGGCAAAAAGTGGGCCAGCAGAGGTGGATCACAGGGTCATCAGAGGTGAGGCTAACCATGAAACTTGACCAGCCCCGAAGCATAGCAGTTTTCATGCATCGAGCCACAGGGAGGTTACAGCACAGGAGCTGTTAAAAATACACAGCTGATGGTGAACGCAAGGTTTGGGTAATTTAATGTGGTAGAGGACAGCCCTTCAAATACTGCAATTCCAATCCATTTATAGCTGTAAAGGGCCTTTTCTTCAGTGGCCCCTCATCTCAAGAAATAAGTTGCCATTGGGAATTCACCAGGTCCCATTATTTCAGGGTTTTAAGAAGAGCCTGAAAACATAGTTTTTTATTCTAGCCTTTCCCTAATTATGTTTTATTGGCTGCAATTGTTTTTGCTGCTGTGGTTTCTTGGAGCATTTGTTATTTTTATCACTGCTTTGGTTTTTATTATATGTATTTTATTGTAGTACACTGTCTTAGGAGGACTCTTGTCCTGAAAGGTGGCCTAGAAATGTTTTAAATAAATAGCAGCCATCACTTTGCACTATACCCAGAAAGGGATTGGCAGCCAGTCCAACTGTTTGGGATATTGATAAGATTCTTATAACTGGTTCCAGTTAGTAACTTAGCTGCTACATTTTGTAAGTGCCAAAGTTCTCATATGCAGCTGCAATGAATTGTAGAAGTCTTAACGTTGGCAGTGCATGTACCACTGTGGCCTGGGTGTTCTCCATCCAGAAGAATCACAGGTAATGCATCAGGTTAGCTATTGAAAAACAAGGCATCGGGTACCTGAAGTGCCAGCTGGGCCTCTAATGACAATATCTGTGAGCATCCCATGAACTGCAGAAGGGGAGGGCAGCCTTGACCAGAACAGATTGAACACTACCTTTCTAGTCAGGAAAACAAATCTACCAAAAGAAACTCTGTCTTGCTGTATTGGCCCTCCTTGCTGATTGTAAATATCAATTTAGCATTTCTACTGCCTTACCCAAATCTGATGAAAAGGAGAAGTATAGCTATACACTTCACATTATCTGATGCTTCTTTTCGCATACTCAAAATGTGGTATTTCAGACTGGTAAAGATAGTGGCATATGGAATTTTGTTAAGTGAACAATAATACCAAAACATTTGAAATTTGATGTTTTATCTCTTATCACTTAAGAAAGAAACAGCTATATGCTGACCTATATTGGATCATTGCAAAGACAGAATATGTTGCAGTTAATATAGGAACCTAGAAGGCTTAGCTCCTCAGGGCTGTTAGATCGTATCAAATAAAGATGTTGATGTAGGAAGTAGAATATTGGGAAACTAGGACATCCTTGAAAATGACACTTGGATTATTTCATGTAAAGAGATGAAGAGTATGCCAAGTGAAGCCTGACTTCATCATGTTTGATAATTTGAATTTACATTAATCTATCCATTGCAGTAAAATATCAGCTCCACGTGAAGATATTTATAAAATAGAGTACTTTTGAATAGACTTCATGCTTAAAGAAGTAACTTGATGCATAGGAAAAATACCTTGTTAGTACAATGCTAGATAACATTTCATTTGTTTTTGCAGACTTTAAGAATTAAAAGATGCACGTATGTTTGCAAGACTTAATAGCTACAGTTGGTTCTAAGTTCAAATGTCTGCATAATGTTCACTATGAAATAAATCCATTTCTGCAAGTAGAAACTCCATTATTTCAGTTTTCTGAAAGTAGTTATTAATTTGAAACAGTTATTAATTATGTTTACATTTCTAATTATTAGTTAAATTTCTAATTACATTATTATAATTACATTTATATCCTATCTTTTTTGAAGAAGCCCAAGACAACTTACGAAGTCCACCTCTCTATTTTTTCCTCACAACAGCACCGAGAGGTGGATTAGGCTGAGACACTGGCCTAAAGTCACCCAATGGGCTTCATGGCTGAGTGGCAACTAGAACCTATATTTCCCAAGTCTCAAACCAACACTTCAGTCACTATACCACAATAAAAAGGGTTTCTCTTATTTAGTAGAAACAGTCTTAAATGAATCTACTGTTTAGCACTTACTAACTCTGTTTTGTTTCCCCTGCAGCAACCCTCATTCGTTCAGGCTCTTTTTGATTTCGACCCTCAAGAGGAAGGTGAACTGGGCTTCCGCCGTGGAGACTTTATCCAGGTCCTTGACAATTCTGACCCCAACTGGTGGAAGGGAGGCTGCCATGGACAAACAGGGATGTTTCCACGCAACTATGTGACCCCAGCAAACCGGAACATCTAGAGCAAATTATTAAAGATTATTTAAGGAAACAGGAGAAACAGTAAAGTACACATTCAGAATCTAACAACAGCCAGTGATCTCCAGTCATCAGGCCATAAAATCTGAGGCACCTCTCTGCTTGAGAGGGAACACTTTTTTCACTCAGTATGGAACTTTCTGGGGAGGGGACAGGAGATGGGTCCAACTTATGCGGCAACACTTACCTTTTAAATTAAAATAGTTATTAACAGACTTGTTTGGTTACTTCTGGTGGCCCCTTATGTTTGCTCATCCTTTATCCCCCAACACTGACCCACCAGTTCATCAGTGCATGAAGTTTTAATGCTATATGAAGTCCATGCTATGCCATTAAAGGAAGGGGGAAGCTCTGCTGGTGTTTCCTGTGGATGCAAACAGTCTTCCTGAAGGGAAGAGAGAGGAACCAAATCCATTAGCCTATTTAATGCACACATGCTAATTCTGCTTTTGCCTTCAGTATTTTGCCTGGATAAGATAGGGAGTTACTTTTTTTCCTAGATACCCCTTCACCTGAAATCCCAGCAGCTCCAAAGCAGAGGAAAGAGAGTGGGGGGCTTTATGTTCCACAGGTTGCAAAGCTATTCTGAGAAATTCTATACTACAGCCAGATTGTGTTCTCATTAACCATGACAGCATTTTAATTTTTTCTGATGCGTATGGTTGAGCACATTCTATTATTTTTCCATTAGTGCCTTTCCCTCATTTCCTTTTTTTAAACTTTAAGGGGCAGTCCAGAGCCTTCAGATTTTTCCCTGTTTTATGTAAATATTTAAGGGGTTGAATGAGAGAGTTGTAGCTTTATTATTAAATACAAATAACTCTATAAACCAGGTGGAGATTTAAAATGTGTATAAGTATCTGATATTCTTTATTCCCAGGTGGGGAAAGGCATAAGAGGATGCATAAGAGGAAGGGCTAGGACTTGCAGCCAGGGGCCCTTGAGAGAGAAAGAAAATTGTACCAGTATGAATAATGTGGCATATTGTATGAAGCTGCCATTTCGAAGAGGCTGAATATTTTGGAATGTCCTCTTGAAGATATACTTTCCCCAAAGTATGGTAGGGAGAGGTCACAAAACTGCTTAATTGTGCTTAGATTTCTTAGGGAATGTTTGAACATGATGCTTGACGATATACAATGCTATCTAGTCCCCCTTTATAGCTGGCCAACTTAAAATGGCAGTCAGTGCCTAGTTCTCCAAAAGAGGGAATGGGTGCTTCTGTTGTACTTTAGCAGTTCCCTGTCTCTCCATGCCAGCATTGCCATAGTTGGAGGAGTTGTGTTCCTTACTCCCAGTTCACAGCAGGCTGTGTGTGGAATTGTATCCCAAGCTTGTATCCCCTGATAAAATTCACTCATGCCATACATGGTATTATGGACGGGTTGGAATTCAAACTGGGAGTGCAACCTGCAGAGCTCTTGTGCCAATACTCACCTTATTTCCTTTTGCTGAGCCACGCGGCTGAAAGAAGCATTGCAACAACGGATCCCAAAGCCACCACAGAGATCTCCTGTTCCGCCAAGATGGAGAAATTCCTGTGCTGGCGGGTGCCTTTTTATACTAAGTGTTACAAATGTGTTATTTCTGAGATGGACTCTGCCTTACAGTTCTGTTTCTCCCAGCAGATGAAAGACAAAGTTATCCTGTAGCGTGTTAATTTCTCTCCCTTTCCTTGCTAGCTGTCTTTCTCTTTCCCTGTTTCCCCTATTTTCTTCTTTCTCTAAAATGATTGGAAAAGGAATCTATGGCATTCTACACTTGGACCATTTGATTGTTTTCTTATTTTGGAATTGGTGTATATCATGCAGCCTTGCAGACATAATGTCTTGTGTGTATATATATAAAAAAATCAGTGTTTAAATAAAAACAGGCCTATGTACTTAATCCTTTAACTCAGCAGCATTTGGTAGATAGTAATTAACTGTGAATAATAAATATACAGTGAATTCTTCCCTTGAATATTAGTGTCTTTTTCTGTTAATATAATGAGCAAGTCTAGTAGTCAGTACACTGGAATGTTATGTGCCTTCACCCAGCCAACATCTCTGCTTACAGTGTTGATTTCTTATGCACCATAAGTTGAAGGTAGGTAACAACTGAAAATCTACACCAGACAAAACAGACATGTAACATACTTCATTTTGCAGTTGCCTAACTTCAATTTTGCCTAACTTGAATTGTTGTGAAATGCCCAGAGAGCTTTGGCTATTTGGTGGTATAAAAATAAAATTAATAATGATAATATTCCAGACCATAATGGACTTCTCAAAAATAATTCAGAGCTAAGGAATAGCCAGTTAGAACACCTTTAAGACTGTGCTTTCACAGTTCATACTGGATGAATGGAGGACACTATTCACGTGTTGTTCTTTGGTGAGAATGTACCAATTATGATGGGACTTTGGGGTAAAGAACGCTATCTCTTGCATATATAAGGCTCAGATTTGTGTGTGTGTGTGTGTGTGTGTGTGTGTGTGTGTGTGTGTGTGTTTGGTTACCACACAGTATATTGGCTTTAGTTTGTGGCTGAATGTTGTAACTTATACTAAGAAAGTCACAAGCCTTCCCAAGCATCTCAATACATTAACTAGTACAATATATTTAGTTGAATACCAGGAGTGTAAAACTTTTCAGCCCAAGGACTGAATTTCACTGTGGAGAACCACTCGGGACCACATTCTTGTAGCGGGATCAAAATACCAAAAATAGCAATTTTAGCTTAAAGCTCTTATTGCCAGTAACTATGCTGTAGGAGATGCATTCCAGCCTCTTGGAATAAAGAAAACTACAAAAAATTGAAAACTACCAACCAGTTGGTGGGAAGGAGATAGGGTCATTTGGGGATCCCAGGAAGGCCAGACTTGGCCCCTGAACCTGAGATTCTGCATCCTTGAATTAAACTAAACAATTTGTACCAGAGAAGCCTTCCATCCAGGGCCAGTTTTGGCTAAGCTGAAAGTCAACAGATTTAAGCTTGCAGCCAGAATGGAAATAGCTCACCCTATTCTGTCTTCCTCTTCATTCAAATGGATGAATGAGAAAAAAAATAGCAAACTGTGTATGTGACCAAGGTAAAGAGAATCAAGGGCAAATGTCAAAAGTGGGAGCCTGATGCTTGACATCTGCTTCCCAGCTGCAGCTTAGCTAGCCAGAAACTGAGTCAGTGGATAGGGCTGCTTAGTTTTGCACTAGCTTTTCCCAGCCAAAGAGCAAGGCATTGGCTGGTAGATAACTCATCTAGGCAGCACCTTAGGAAGGCTGTTTCACTATTCCCCTGTGTTTCCAGCAAGGAGTGAAATGGACTCAGCCTTCACTCCTACATAGTCCCAAACTATTTAAGCTGGCATTGAAAAAAAGATGCACAATTTCTTACCAAAGTCTTACCAAACCAAGAAACCAGCCCAAGGTCAACAGTACTGTTGACTCCCTAAACCCAAAGTGCTGAGAAGATATTCCGGGCAATGGGGGGAGAAATACTGAGAGAACATCTTTCCTGTTCTCCCAACGGCCTGTTGCTAATGTGATCCTTGGCTCTTTTCTGCCCACAAATGATGCTCAGTTTTGCACAGAAAAATCTTTTGAGGCAAATATAATTCCTCTAGATGTGTCATTCTAAGCTTCTATATAAGAAGGAAATCTGCATACCTGCCTGCTGTGCTGATTGCTGGCTGGCAAACCAACTGTCATCAAAAGGCATATGGCTCAAGCTTTAAATCTTGATTGCTAGTGAGCCTGTGCTTCAAAAGCTCTAAATTTAGCCAAGGAGTAACCACAGCAACAACAAACTTGCTGTAGATTCTCAGTCAATATTAAAGCAAGGTGTAGTTTGGGATGCATCCAGTATTGCACTAACAGATGTCGGCTTTCACACTGAAACTTTTCTCCCCTCCTCTTCCCATACATTTATTTATTTATTTTTCGATTTATGTCCTGCCTTTTCCCTACAAAGGGCTCAAGGCAGCTTACATCTCCTCCTCCATCTTATCCCCACAACAACAACAACCCTGTGAGGTAGTTTGGGCTGAGAGTCTGTGACTGGCCCAAAGCCACCCAGTTGGCTCCATGGCTGAGCGGGGACTAGAACCCAGGTCGTCTTGAGTCCCAGTCCCAGGCTCTTAACCACTACGCCACACTGGCCACATACCTTAAAATCTTTCTTGAAGGAACTCCCATAACCCTCTGGAGCAGATTTGGGAGGGTGCCTCTGGAAGAGAGAATCCACTTTGCTGTCCACAGTGTGGACAGACATGGTTATGTCAATATTTTATGAGGCACAGAATGAAGCTTTACACTGTTGCTGTTATGTACTGCCAACCCACCTCCAACTTAGGGCAACCCCATGAGTGAAAGCTCTCCAGAATGTCCTGTTGTGAGTTGTGTACTTGATTGCCATGTAATGGATGCCTGCTTAGAAAAGTACATTTCCTTTAACTGAAGAAATACCTGTTCACAGAATAGGAATGGGGAACAGAATGGAATGTGAGTGCAGCCCTTTGTTGGAATGGCAACATCTCAACCTTCTTTGATCCTGATGATCCAATGTAAGGAGGTTTTTTCTGAGACCATTGTGAGAAGGGACAGATTGTAAAGGAAGGTTTTGAAGAAGAAAAAGCAGAGACACGAAAAACAAGTCCTGAGAAGGCTGAGGACAGACCAGAAAAGAAAAGAGCAGCAGCATCCTGCCCTTTCCCTGGTTACCAGTCGGTAGATGCTTCAGAACTGTCAGTATCTGAGGCTTACAATTACTTCTTAAACCTGAACTGCAGAGCTAGAAACAGGTTTTGTTTTAAGAAATAACCTACCTTTAGAGAAGATCGCCACCGGACTGCATTTCACTGTATTGTTTAAGAAACTAAGTTTAAATTGTGCATTAATTTGCATGTTTACTTTGCATCTTCCTCCATTTCTCTTCCCTGTTAAATAGTATTTCTTGTTTTATAAGTTGCTGATGAGTTAGTTATTCCCCACCTGTTTTCAGGGCATGTGGCTCCTGGTGGGTTGGAGGCATTGGATGCTAGTTTGGGTCAGCATCTTGCTGTCCCGGAGGTGCTTCCAAGTGTAACCCCACTTTTCCCACTGACAAACCTATGGGGTGGTTAAAACAGAGAGATCTTGGTTCATTCGTGCAGTAGTAGAGAAAAACACCAGTTCACTTAATTCCTCAAAGCAGGTGAGGGAAAAAAGTGAGCAACTTATAAAACCAGAACTTGGATTTATTTAACTGGCAGAGGGAAAGGGGGAGGAAACAAAACAAACAGTTGAATGAGTAAACAATTTACACTAAGTCTCTAAAAATAAAATGGGGGAAGGGCGTCTCAATAATGCAACAGGCCAAGAAAGTAGGCTATTGCTCAGTCCAGGATTCAGAAGTAATTTTAATGATTGTTGCTTATACAGCCACTGTTCTCTGGAAATGGGAGGAAGGGCAAAATGCCACCACTGCAGCTCACTTTCTGTACTTGGCCTCAAGGAAATGTCTTTTCTGCCTCCCACTTCTCCCTCTTCAGTTTCATCAGAAGCTCTGTCCCCAGTTTGTCCTTTGTCATCTTCTCACAGTCTCCTCAGAAACAGCGTTGGGGTTTGAAACAGTATCTTTCAAATAATACTGGCTTCTTAAAGATGAATAAATTGAGGTTTACTGTCCTAAATAGTACAGGCATCTAGTATAGCCTTCTCAAAATGTAGTGAAATTCAGTAAAGGAAAAGTGTTGTTGTTTAACGTGTTAAGGAGACACTCTGTGTTTTCAAGTTCTAAAATCTTAGGAAATCATAGCCACTAAAGGCCATGCCCTTAACAAACATGTTATTTAGGCCAGGAGTGGACAGAAGAATCACTACTGCAAATATCTAAGTTCCTAATGTGCACTTCAGTCTTGAGACCAAACTGAATCATATATGCAAACTATACAACAACAAAGTTTTAAGAACGTGCATACTTTGTGGCAGTGCCAGTTGATCAAGGTCTAGCACTGCCCACGGATTTGGGTATTAACATTTTACAACAAACAGTGAGTCCTGGAACCACTGTAAAGATCATGCATATGTCCTCTCTATGACAGGGAGGGTGTGCTATACTCTATAAATACAGATTTATAATAAATCTATAAATGCTAGTAGCATCTCCCTAGAAGGAAATTCAAGCCAACACTGCATGATTAAGTTACACAATCAGAACAAATTGCTCTGCAGTTATTTCTGAAGATCCCAAAAATTCTGAAAGACACTCAGGCTTTTCCTATTGGCCTCTCGCCATCTAGAGTCTTTTTAGCTGAGCAACACATTCTAGCTCATTTCAAATCAGGATATCTTTAAGCAGCCTTTCCCAATCTGATGACTGCCAAATGTTTTAGACCACAACTCCCAGCATGCCTGACCATTGGCTATATTGGGCGTGGCTGATGGGATTTGGAGTGCAAAACATCTGACGGGCACCAAGGTGAAGACGCAATGAATTCCACCCACGCGAATGTTCCGCTTTGCCCACATCCCCACCCACCTTACTAATTCCAGCCCCTCCCGCCTCCCTTCATCAGAGAGGAGGACACGCCCATTCCGCCGGAGAGGACTGCATTTCCCAGAAAGCCAGGCGGCTGCCAGGGCCGCGGGAGTCCGTCTTTGAGCGGGGCGAGTTCGGTCGTAGCTTGGCCTGCCGGGGCAGCTCCTTTTTCCCGCCGCAGGGAGCGGCCGCCTGGGTGAGCCTCGGGCGCCTTGGGATGGGCTCTTTGGGGTCGAGGCGCCAAGCAGCAGGGGCCGGAGCGGTCGCGGGGTGCCCGCCGGCTTTCCTTTCCAATTCAGAAAGGAGAACAGATTAGTCGTCCTTGAAGCTCTCTCTCAGGAGCCCTCTTCTGGTTTTGGAGATGCAAGGTCGGCTTGTAGTGGTGTCGGGAATGCACTCTGAGCACGCTCAGCTGCACTTCTTCCCCTCCTATTCGTCACCTTGCGAGTTATAGGTCCGGACGTGAAAAGACATCAGCCCCGGAGAAACCTTTTGGGTGAAAAACCGTTATTACTTTCGGTAACTGTGTTTGACTTGATGTCTGACTGCTGCATCCTAGAAGCAAGGACGTCTTCCCTGGCTTGCTTTCGTGGGGTTCTGCTTTTCATTGAAAAGCTGCCCGGACACAACCGGGGGGGGGGGCACCACACTGCGGGGGAGGCTGGCAAATAGAATGGCACCTGCTGCTTAAAATAGGGTGGCTTCTGCCTCAGTCAGCATCCTTCTAATAGCCTTTTTGCGGGTACTTTACAGTGTGTGTTGAAAAGGAAACAGGACTGTGACCTCGTCCCATTTTGGGGTTCACCAAACATCCACACACTGGACTTAACATTTAAATGTGGTCTATGGATAGTTCTGGTTAATGCAAACTTTATCTCAAAATGTCATAAGAATATTATGTGCACCAGGCTTGTGCACACTAACACAAGCAACACTTCAAAATGTTACCGCTGATGTGTGGTTACTGGAAAGGCTTGAAGATGAGGGTTTGGGGGGAATTTTTCAAGTAGAACATTTCCCAGAATACTTTTAATATTTTAAGGCCATTGGGATCTAATTTAGCATAAGCAACTTAACTCAGTCGAATCTGTACTAACCTGTTGGTTTGATGATAATAATAAACATGTCTTCGTCTGTCAACTCCATAGCTCCAAGGGCATGAACCAAAACACCTGAAACTCAGCCTGTGTACTAAGACTCTAGGCATGCACACCTGGAGGCTATTTGGTTGTTAAAACACATTAATCTCAATGCAGCTGGGTGTTTGATGCCTGCAATGCCCTTTTCAGTCCCTTCAGTAAGTGGTGGGCTTCCTTATCCAGTGCATCACTTGAAACAGTTTGAACACGGTAAGGAGGAGTAGCCAGGATGGGCAGGAAACTGCCCCCTAATAGGGGAAACCTCCATCAAGGTGCCTCATGGTGAGGCCTGCAGTTGCCTGGGTGGGGTGGCAGGCACAGAGAGTTCAAATCTGACAGCCGTATAACTCAACTGAATCAGACTAATGGCTAGTCCAGCCTGCATGACCCTGGGAGTATTTGCTTGAACTTGATAAAGGGCATTTTAAAGGCACCCCATATTGATACGATGTGCTCTATAAATATTTGAGACATTTTCTCTAATAGCCATGCATAGTTGAACAGAAATATATCATTAGGAAAAGCAATAATGAAAAATAATACATATTTGATTAGAATTGCATATTCAAAACTTAGGAATGCATTATTTTTGTGTGATTTTTGGTTGATTATTGTTTTTATTACGATGTTGGTATGTTTTATACATTACAAGTACAATAAAAGGTTTAATTATTTTTACTGGAATGCTTGTAAATACGTGCACTTTCTTTACATTGTTAAATTTTTTGGAGGGGGCGGGGAGAGCAGAAACACAAAGCGGTTAAACATACTAATTTTCACATGTTCAAAGTGCTGTTCATTTTCCTTCCTAGGATACTCACCTGAAAAAAGTCAATGGTAATTTTTAATCTGCCCAATTTGACCTTGTTGACTTTGTTAACCATTGTATAAACTGATAATTTTCTGCCCCACCTTTCTGTCTTTGAAGTATGTGTGTGGACAGTCCTTAAGCTCTAATGTAAAGCAGCCTTCTCAGTTGGGACTCTTCCTTCCTTACCCTCAGTATCAGTGTCCACAGGAGTAGATGGATATCAAGGCTGCCTGTGGGCCCTGGAGGGATGGTTGGCTATGACCCAGATTCCGAATGCTCATCCCTTTCAACAGTGGAAATAGCAGCGGCAGGATCAGCATCTGGGTTGGTCACTCGGGCAATGATTGGTCCCTTTGACGTGTTAAAGATTCGTTTTCAGGTACTATTCTTGCAATTCATGGGACAGTCTTATTTTATGATGGTAAACAAGTGAAAGAAAAGTGGGAGGGAAGGAAGGAAGCTGTCCTTTCCCATAATTCGTTACTGTGCTGAAGATTATTATGGTAATAGTATATAGTAATGGAACCAGGAAGATAACAGCAGGCTTGGTGGAACCACGGTGTCCCATCTTGTGATAACCTCCTGATTAGACCACTGTAGTATGTTGTATGTGGGGCTGTCCTTGAAAACAAGCTGAAAATGTCAGCTAGTGCAGAATGCAGCTGTTCACATATTAATGGAAGTGGCCAGATGGGATCATACTACCCTTAGCAAGCTACACTGCTTGCCTATTTACTTCCAAGCCCAATAAAACCTTGAATGGTTTGGGACTTAATGAACCTCTCTTCCTATACTAGCTCACCCATGTCTTAACTCTTCCCAAGGTGCTTTCTGCCTTTTGTAGGATAACTAGTGAAGGAATCTTCTCTCTTGTGGCACCACATTTGTGAAACAACCTTCCCATGGAGGAGTGCCTGGTACAGACCATGCAGTTGGTACCACTTCAAACCTTTTCTGTTTTCCCTCAGCATTTTAAGCCTCTGTCTTAGAGATGGTTGCCTACCCTCTACTGCTGTTTTATTATAGAATTTTGTTTCCATTTTGTTTGTTTTTGTAGTTCACTACCCTAAAAATCACTTTCCTTAAGAAAGTCTTTGGATGACAAACTGTAGTCTTTTATTTTGCATCCTATTTGAACTTGGGACATAATTCTGTGCCCTTTTTGTGTTTCTGTGCTATTTCTCCAAGTCTAATTCTGCATAATATGAAGAAAGATATCCCATTGCATTAGGAAAAAGTCTGAACATGTTGGGCCTACTAATCAATCTTTTTGACATCAGGAGTTCCTCTCTCTCTCCTACTGTTGGTGGTGCCACCTTTTTCTTTTTTCTTTTCTTTGCTGTTGGCATTTTCACTACAGTATTATAGCAAACAAATGCAGGCATATTTACTCAGAAGTAAATACCATTTAGTTCTATTTGGCTTCTAAGTAAGCACATGTAAGATGACAGCCTCAGAGTGGGGACTTAGAAATGTTGTGGTCTTAATTTGTTTTAAAGCCTTCCCCAGCCTGGTAACTTTCAGATATTCTTTAGAAGCTCAAGCCCTGATGCAATTCATAGTGCAAAGATTTAAACTGAAAGCTACTTCTGTTCTCTTTCAGCTTCAGATAGAGCAAATTTCTTCCAGAAATCCACGGGCTAAGTATCATGGTCTCTGGCAGGCTATTTGGGTGATTTTTCGGGAGGAAGGACTGACAGCATTCTGGAAGGGCCATGTCCCTGCTCAGCTCCTCTCAGTTACCTATGGTGCTGTCCAGGTAAGAATCTGACATGTTTTGGCTTAGCTCCTGAGCTATTACAGCTACAGTGGCTTCCACAACAATCCTCTTTAGGTGGGACTGCCTTTCTCTTGTCTGTTTCCAAAGTATAGAGTGGTACCCATGCAGCATATTTGAAAGGATGCTTTTTCAAGGGATATCCCCTGCATCCCTGCCAAAGCATATGTTTTGAGGGCTGGGAGGCCCTTCCTGTGTTTTTGCTTTAATTCCAGCCACCCAGCATTCCAGGCCTTTCTACTTGTTCATTGCTGTTTTATTATTCACAGGCGGGGGGCAGGGAGGTATTACAACAAATACGTTGGTAGATCAGCCTTCCTTCCTTTGATTATTTTAGCCCCACACTGTAACCAAATATTGTAAAACCTGTATAGTTACAACAGTCCAAGTCATTCTTCAATGCATACATTTATATGGGTAGCCCACACACACACACACACACGCACGCACGAGAGGGAGGAAGGGCAAACAGATCAACCGCCTAAGCAAAATACACACCACACCAAGATCAACAGTGAACCCTAGCAAAACACCTCCCACATACACAAGTACTCAGGAAAATACAGACTACTCCAAAATAAACACACAAACCTCAGAAAACAGGCAGTGCACACTGCAGGGGCAAAGCACACCACCCTCTAGAGTCTAGACCATCCCCTGAAGTCCCCTAGCAGTGTCCTGGCACATGCTTCCTAGCTACCCCTGGTCTGTTGGCAAGGCAGCTGTCTGGCAAAGGTGGCACCTTCCTAGCCTCGGTGCTTTTCCTCCAACCACTTGTATTAAAAATAGATCATTTTTGTAAGTGCCTTTGTGGTGCTGGTTAGTTACAGCTGCTCGATCTCATTTCCCACAGCAGTCCTCCTTACCCAGCCCAGTTGTCCACATTTCTGACTGTTGTCGTTTGTCTCTGCCAGTTTGTCAGCTTTGAATTTCTGACAAAGTTGGTGCACCACGGCACAGCTTACGATGCCCGGGACTTCACTGTGCACTTTGTCTGTGGGGGGTTGTCTGCCTGTGCCGCCACGGTGACCGTTCAGCCCCTTGACACACTGCGTACTCGCATGGCTGCCCAAGGTGAGCCAAAGGTAAGAGATGGATGGCAGGTCCCCCCACCAGAACACAGGTACACGTGGCCTTCCTTTAGTGGCCACCTGGACTCCTTGCAGATTTATTCTGTTCCTGGCAAGTGAGGTGTTTGCCACACAACTATCTTGGAAGAGTCTCCTGGCTCTTCCCTAATGCTGAGTATTTCCTTCATGCCAGGGCAGAGAAACCGCAGTTTCTGCCAGAGTGTACATGCAAGGGAATTTTGTGAGCATTGCTGAAATTTGACTGACTTCCTGATGCATGGCAAGCTATGTTTGCCTCAAACCTCTTTTGATTGGCCTCATAAAGAAAAAGGTGCTTCCAGACTAAGGGCTTGTAGTGGTGCCATGCAAAAGGCAGTGTGTACCTATTTTCTTTCTTTCTCCTTAACCTATTTTTTTCTGATAAGGGAACAGATGGGAGGCACATGGGAGGGTTACCAATGGGAGATAACAACATCTGGGCACCCCTGTAAAATTCAGTGGGCATGTCTGGGCAGTTGCATAAACACCAAGTCTTGTGCTGTTTTCAGATCTACAGAAACCTCCGCCATGCAGTGGCAAGTATGTACCAGAAAGAAGGGCCGCAGACATTTTATCGGGGTCTCAGCCCTACCATCATCGCCATTGTCCCTTACGCTGGCTTCCAGTTTTCCTTCTATGGCCTCATGAAGAAGCTGTATGACTGGATCATTCCGAACGAAGAAAAGAAAGGAGGTTAGTTGGGGGGTGTGGGTGGCAGAAGCAGCAGCCAGTGACCAATGGGAAGGCCCTGCTATTGCCTTCCCTAACCTAGTTTTCCTGAAAATGAGCCACATTTCAGAATAAAATTCTCCCCCGTACGCTGCTGTTCTCCTTTGCTGCCCAGTCAGCTGCTGACTTCAAGTGTTACGTCATTGTTTTTCTAATCCCTGCTGTCGAAAAGCGAAGTGTAGAGCTGTGAGATGCAACCCCTCTCCTCCTGGCTTCTTCTGCTTTGCAGGCAATATTAAAAACTTCCTGTGCGGCAGCTGCGCTGGAGTCCTCAGCAAAACCCTCACCTACCCCTGTGACCTATTCAAGAAACGACTGCAGGTGGGAGGCTTTGAGGAAGCCCGGACAGCCTTTGGGCAGGTGAGAGGTGTTTCAAGTCGCAGGGCCCTTCCTCTTTTCGGGATGATTGGCATCATAAATGACCCAAGCCAGCCACATAACTAGGCTGCAGGAATGTATAGCTGCACCAAATGAGCTTCCATCCTGTGCAGTGTACTATATGTTTTCCCTTCCTGCTTTTTGGATAATTGTGGGATAGAAGAACAAAAAGGTCCATTGCAGATCTTGCTAGATTCCTCACTGGCCAGAACTGATTCCATATTTGGTACTTCTGTGACTTTTCAAACACCAATTTCTCTTCTCCCTGGCAGTTTCCGCAGCCCTGTTATAAGTCAGTGTGGAACCTCCATTCCTGTCCATGCTAGATGAAGTGCAGTGAAGGTGCCACATATTGGTCATGCTCAGACCATCCTCTGAATTCTGATGGAGGAGCAAGCAGGCATGCGCGTTGGGCTCAACCCCCCCTCCTGTCCTCCTCCGTGCATGAGCCGTGGAAATCTGAAGCTTCTGTTTGCAATTAGAGCCTAATTTGACATCCTGATTTCTTTGCTAAATATGATTTGTAGCACTCACAGTTTCCAGTACTTGGAGAAGGCAGGAAGTTGTGGCTTGTATCACACTGTGAGGAAGCATTTCGATCTTCCCTTGAGCCTGGAGGAGGTGGGGAGGGAGCTCCTGTGTCAGTGCCCGGCCACAGCTCATGCATGAAGCAACCTACGTGGCATAGTACAACTTCCCCCAGCCGTAGCCCTCCAGATGCTTTGGACTGCAACTCCCAGGATTTGTGATGGGGAGTGGAGCCCTAGATGTCTGTGGGGCACCAGGTTGGGGAAGGCTGGTTGGCTTTGCATCTGAAACAAGCCAGTTGCCCTCTGAAGGGAGAACAGTGACTGGGACTCTCCTCCACCCAGGCAGCAGAGCAGCATTTTTGCACGCTGCATGTCGTGCTCCATTGTTGGCCACGTTTACCAAACAATAACCAGCAAGGTTTTTTTTCCGTTCCGTGAGACTTGGTCCGCTGATTTTCACTGATGACATCCTGCTTCACTTGCTTGTCCCCCCTGCCTCTCTTTGGCAGGGAAAGATGCAGAAGACTTTCCCAGGTTGCAGTTGTCCTCTCACCTGCCTCCCCTTTCCCCAGGTGCAGAGCTACACGGGTTTAGTGGACTGTGCACTCCAGGTTACCCGGGACGAGGGAGTCAGAGGATTGTTCAAGGGCCTCTCCCCAAGCTTGCTGAAGGCTGCCTTCTCGACCGGCTTCACTTTTTTCTGGTATGAGCTCTTCTGCAGCTTCCTGCGCAGTCTGAAGGACTCCGATGGCGCGAAGAAGCAGGACAGCTGATGGGAGCAGGAGCCACTGTCTGCGATGAATGGACTGTCAGGGTTGCCATCCAGCCTGTGGGGTCGGGGGGGGGGGAGGTGTGGAACAGAGATGGTTATCCCTTTGCATGATGGGATCCATCTGACCCAACCAGAAGGCCCTTCCTTGCCCCTCACGACTTCCGGCGATGGCAGGGCAGGCCTGCAGCGGCTGCATCAAGCACTTCCCCTGAGGCACAGGCGCGTTCTGCCAACACCACATGGAGGCTGCCTGCCTGAGCACCGCTCACTCCAGAGAGGGGGGATCTTCTTGCTGTGTCTGCAAAGCACGGGCTGCCATTCCTGTGTCGAGTCACTCTAGCCGCTTGGGGCAGCCCCTAGCCAGTGTGCCCGCAGCCCCTGTAGCCCTCCTGGGCCTCGCCTCCTCCTAGTTGCCCCTCCAAGCTGCTGCGGCAACCCCTGCAGTGATGGACAGGGCCCACAAATGAGGTGCCTGCATTTGGACAGCACTGACTTCTGCACTCCTCTGTTAACCCACTGAATCTAAAAGTGCCCACCCCTGATCCAAATAGGAGGGAGTTGCCTTTTGGACATAACTTGACTCATTTTGATCTACATTTTAATGGATCCTCTCAAATTTATTTCTCCTGACGGCTCATCTCTGGACGCTTTCAGCAGAAGTGAGATAGAGATTCCTTGCAGCAAACTACCCAAAAGCTGGCATTTAGTAAGCCAAGGCTGAAATAGAAACGTTTGTCCAGTCAATCTTAGTCAGTCATGCCTGAAAAGAAAACTAGCCCGTGAACGCCTGAATGTAACCCAGTGCAAGTGTACTTGGAAGTAAGTCCTCCTGAATTCCATGGGACTTACTCCCAGATAAGTGTACTTAGGACTGCAGCCTTAACACGTGTTTCTCAGACACTGCTGTATTCTTGAAAGAAAGCCCGTGTTCTGGACTGCTTGTTTTCTTGGTCTGCTGTTAGTTGTTCTGTTCACTTCAGTAGAACCAAGTATCATTAGACACATAAGTTTTGCTTCCGTTCTCAGAAGCTGGTTGCGCCAGTTCTTTTTTGCTTGCTCTAAAAGGTAAAAGCACTTTCCCTTGGCGCTGTGCCAGTGTATGGTGAGAAAGCGTCTGTCTCCCTCAGCTTAGACACCTGTGCATAAGGCGACGCCATGGCATAAGAGGACTATGGACTGCAGTCGCCTGTCTCAGTGGTTGGGGGTACTGCATTTAAATGTCTTGAGCTGTTTTTATACCAGCCCCTCAGAGCAGAATGGGGGGAATGAAATCACTGTGGCCTGTGAAGTAGAGGAGCTGCCTAGGTTCCAATAAAAACCACCCACCTCTTTTGCTAGGCAGCTCCTTTGACTTTCCATCCTGTTACACTCTCTCTCACAGTGGGGCCACATCTTTTCACCCACATTTCTAGCTTGAAGGGCATTGTAGAAGGAAGTGTGCTTAGATTCTCATCTGCAATCTCCTGGGGCTTTGCTTACTGCTGCAGATGAGAATTTGAGCACATTCGATTCCACTAGAGTATGAAAAAAGATGCTTGTGAAATCTCCAGAGCCTCTTGTGTCTGAGGCTGTTGGATCCTGCTGAATTGGTGAGGGAGCCATATTTTTAGAAGCATAGAAATTAGAAACTGGAAGGATTCTCCTAGTCCCCATCTCCTTCCTACCTGTGGCATAGGATTTGGTTTTGCGCACTTGCCTGCAATTATTTCTATAGGTGACCTGACAGTCGTATCCCAGCTGCTGTGTCTTGCCCCCTACAGCCCTATGCTGAGTGCGAACGGTCAGAGGTGTGTGTTAGGCAGGGTGTTTCTCTCCCCAGCTGCCTATGTGCCCTTCCTCTTCAAAGACTGGGACTGACTGGTTGATTCAAACTCCTTTATATAGCATTCACCTGGGGGGAGTGACAGGTTCTGAGGCAAGCAAGAAGCTGGACACAAGGTGCTGTTCTGGTGGCTGTTCCTGTCGTGATTGAAAAGGAGTTTGGCCACTTCTTTCTGTGTCCAGGAGCATCAGCTCCCAAACATGAGGACAGCCTCTGCATTCCCTCTGCCTGCAGTCGAGCACACAGCCTGCCTTGGCGTCCGAGATTTGCAAAAGTGACCACAGGCGGATGCTTAAGTCTTGGCCTCTTCCACTGATGGTCCCAATGTGGCAACATCTACCAAAGATCTGGAGAGATCTTTGGTTTGCTGGCTTATGAATAAGATGTAACCCTGTGCCCTGTAGGCCATCCTTGGTTAAATTTAATCTTGTGCCTTATGCTGCTTCCAAGCCAGATGCACTTTATTGAGCAGAAGTTTAAAAATCCAGCTACTTACTGGGTACCGTGGTGTCAGTAGTTCAGGCTTCCAAACCAACAAAGCAGTTGAACTCTGGCTCTTGGAAGCCTGTACCTTTGAGAGAACTACCCAGATTCCTAGGAGTGCTTTTATTATTATTTCCAGTAGATTCAATTATCTGAATTGCATCTCTTTGTCTTCTCAGGATGCTTGTTTGAGTGCTCTGTCTTTGCATGCAAGAGCAGAAGAGACTCATTTTCAGGATCAATCACTGGGGTGGTTCTTGTTTTTCAGTTCCTCTTGTGGTATCAAAGCTTAATCCATTACAACATTTATATTTTTCATATAAACTTAGATTTTTCAAGGGCAGGGCTTATCAGAATTTGGACCAGCCCATTTTTCACTTTCTATGGAACATGTACTTCTGTTGGAAGAAAAGTAATAAATATGTTTAACAGGAATCTGCCTGACTCCATTTTTCCCCCAGTACTTAATTCACCTTTGTTCCTAGAACCTCAGTGGAGAAGCACCTTGCTCAAAAGCGAGAAAGGACTGAGTCTCAGGTGTTCTGATGGGAAACATTGACTTCAATACATGTGTGTTTTTCTATGCAGCACTAACAATATGTGCTTGGTATTTGGGGTTGTGTTACCAAATTCAAAACATCTTGTATAAAGTGAATTTCATAACAGGTTGTGCCACGTGTATAGTGGTCAGAAAAGCAAAACTGAGCAAAACAAAGAGCACCTAGTTTCAGTTATCTGTGCTCTGGTAACCTCTCGTTTGGATTAATGCAGTGCGCGCTATATGGGGCTGCCTTTGAAAATGGTCCAGAGATGCCAACTAATCCGAAACAGGGCAGCAAGATTATTAATGGGAACTGGCTTGCAAGAACATATTATGCTAGTGCTCTTCCAGCTGCAGTGGCTGCCAGTTGAAGTCCGAGTCCCATTCAAAGTGCTAATGCTAACATTCAAAGCCCTAAACGGCTCAGGTTATCTGAAGGATTGCCTCATCTCATACGTACCCATCTGGACTCTGAGGGCATCTTCAGAGGTCCTTTTCCAGGAGCCCATTCCAAAGGAGGAGAGGCAAGTGGCTACCAGAAGGAGGGCCTTTTCAGTTGTGGCACCCTGCTTTTGGAATGAGCTCCCCAACAGGGAATAGCTGAAAAGCCAGCAGTGTCAGGGTGGGATTCAAAACAGAGCAGTGGCTAGGTGGACTTGTCAGCTGGATGCTAGTGGAACTAGGATGGGGTGGTCCAACCTGCAGTCTGCAGGCCTCATGCCGCCCTCTTGCTGCTCAGAGCCCCCTGTTCTCCCTGCCCTCCCACCTGGATCCCAGCAATGGCACAGGCATGATTGCAGCAAGCTCTCCCGAGCCTGCTGGCCCGTCCTGCTCTCTTCCTGAGGTTCAGGACCAGAGTGCGTCCAGCTGGTGGCCTTGAAAGAGCTCGCTCCAGCATGCTTGCACTGCTCTAGCTGATACAAGACTGGGCAGAAGCTGAAATTGAATTTTGAAAACCACATGCTGGCCCTGGCGTGTTCTCATTTAGGGAGAAGAAAAGTCAGGACATCACTTTCCTATATATGGTATGCATGGCTTGTTCAGAAGTGGAAAGCAAGATGGGAATCACCTGGTTAGGACAGAAGAATAATGGCATATATAGGAGTTCAAAAATAGGATGAGCAAATTTAATAGAGGAAGCAGGGAGTTCAAGGACAGTTCAGTAGGATAGTCAAAGCTTTCTCTCCAAATTGCTTGGAGTGCTGTTCAACGACATCCAGAATCTGCCTGAGAGGAGACGGCAGTGATGAAGTGAGCACTCATCTGCCGTCCTTCAACATGCAACGCAATGTCCACCTGGAAATAAGCCCCATCAAGTTCAGCCAGGCTCACTCCCACGCAGGAGTACACAGGAGTGCAGTCTTTTAAGTTTTGCTCTGAGTGGGGAGAAAGAAATGTTGCTTTGTTGTGCTTTTGGGGCACTTCATTTTTCACAGCAAAAAGGGCAATGAAATTCCTCCAGCAGAGTGGTGTTTCTCAGCCCAACAACATAAACTGTGAACCCTGCTTATTAGGGATGGATCAGGAACTCATCTGGTTGAATTATTTTGTCAGACTTCCCCAGTAGGCACATCTAAAAATTATGAGAACTAGAAGGCACCTGAGCGATGAAATCCACATTTTCCAGAATTCTGCAATGGTTTTTACAGGTCAAAACAGGCACACACAAATGCATATAGCAAAGGGAAATGCACATAAAAATGCATATATCACAGAAACTGTTCAAGTAAAATCATGTGCCTAAACTGGATATTAGGAAAAGTGCATACAAGCATAGAAACAGAAAAAGAGCGAGTCAGATGGGGCCTCCCGGGCCATCTAGTCTGACCCCCAGCTCCAGCCGGCTCTGCTCACAACATGCACACCATGTGCATGTCTAGCCTATCCTTGAACACCCTCACTGATGGGGCCTCAACTACCTCTCGTGGAAGCCCATTCCACACCCTCGGGGTCCTAACGGTCAGGAAGTGCTTCCTGGCATCCAAGTTGAACCTGGGTTCCCTGAGCTTTGCTCCATTGAAGCGCGTCCTGCCTTCCTCTGCAGGGGAGAACAGGTCTCTACCCACCTCCGTGTGACATCCCCTCACATACCTGTATGTCGCCAGCAGATCCCCTCTGAGTCTCCTCTTCTCCAGGCTGAAGAGACCCAGTTCCCTCAGTCTCACCTCATACGGCATCCCCTGCAAACCGGCACCAACCTTGTGGCCCTACGCTGCACTGACTGTAACCTGGCTATATCCTTCCTGTAATGAGGGGCCCAAAACTGAACACACTACTCCAGTTGTGGGTGCACCAGAGTCATATAGAGTGGTAGTAATACCTCTCTCAATCTAGAAGTCACACTTCTGGCTATGCAACCGAGGGTGGCGTTCGCTCTCTTGACCACCGCATCACACTGCTGACTCATGTTTAGCCTGCAGTCAACCAGCACCCCAAGATCCCTTTCACAAGTGCTGTTCTTCAGCCACTTGTCCCCTAACCTGTACTTATGACACCAATTCCTATGCCCCAAGTGCACTTATCTGCATTAAACGCCATCCTGTTGTCTCCTATCCATTTCCATAGTCTGTCCAGATCCTTTTAATCAGCAGACTGTTCACCCCTTCTTCCATGTCGTTGATGAAAAGATTAAACAGGATCAGCCCCAGGACAGAGCCCTGAGGGACCCGATTCCCCACTAATGGTTACCCTCTGCTTTCAGTCAGTCAACCATGCCCTAATCCATTGGACAGTGCATCAGTCTATCCCAAAACTCCTCAGTTTCTCCACCAGGATATCATGGGGCACTTTGACAAAGGCCTTGCTGAAATCCAGGTAAACCACATCCACTGCATCCCCTCCATCTAGCCACCTTGAAACCTTGACATAGAATGCCACAAGGTCTGCCTGGCAGACCTGTTTTTGTGGAAACCATACTGTGTGGCCGCCAGACTCCCTTCCCTATCTAGCATCACTAGATCGCTTGCTATTATGAGCCTTTCCATTGTTTTTCCTACAATGGAGGTAAGGCTAACTGGTCTGTAATTCCCCATGTCCCTTCTACTACCCTTTTTGAAAATTGGGACCACTGATGCCACCCTCCAGTCCTCTGGAGGAAAATCCAAATCCATTAATTAGAATTAAAGTACACAAAAGTGGATAAGAATTTTTGTGCAGGGTTTTTGAATTTTGTTTTTTTGAGGAGGAGCAAAGGTACAAACTGATACAGAAGCTAGTCAAAATGAAATTATGGTTGGAAAACTGAGAAACCACATGAAGCAAAACAGATACTTATGTATCACTGTCCCTCCATTGCACTTGCTGAGGGAATGGGGAGAAAGGTGTGGGTATGGTGTGGAGTGCTGCATTCTTTAAACCAGCTGTTGCCCCTTTAATGGGGTGAAACTTCTCCTCCTCTTGGAAAACGAGGGCTGCTGCCTTCAGAATGGCTGTGGCACAGTGCCCAGTATGACCTCCCTCCTGTCAGGGGCAGAGAAAAGATTGGCACTGAGATGCCCCCCCCCACCCCCCAATTCAGGCATTCACGGACAATCAGCAGGAGCTACATGAAATGTTGTATGAAAAGGCGTCCACGTTTTGGCTCCAGAAGTGGGAAATTGCCGTCCTTGCCAGCTGCCACTCCAATGCATTACAATGGCAATTGTTTCGGTATGTATCATAAATTTTATTAAATTTATATCCTGCCTTTTCTCCTGCAAGGAGCTCAAGGCAACTTACACAACCATCTTTCTCTCCATTTTGTCCCCTCAGCAACCCTGTGAAGTAGGTTAGGCTGAGAGCCAGTGACCAACCCCAAGCCACCCAAGGTGCTTTCCGGCCAAGTGGAGGCTAGAGTGATCTCCCAAGACCCAGGCCTAACTCTAACTACTATACAGCACTGCTTTGCCCCTTTGGTCATGTGTGACACAGCACAGGTCCCCCACTTGTGAAACTCAGGCAAACTCCATGCATTACTATCATTTCCACTCGCCCTGGTGAGAACACAATTCTACGTGGTCTTCTTTGTTGTACAGCTACTTTGAATTATGGGCTGCAGGACTCTCTCCTTCGTCCAGCTTGCTTTTTGTGATCTGGGCCAGATGAAAAACCAGCAGGTAGATCTTAAAACTGCATCACCTGTCACATGGGTGTCACCTGAATAAGTTGCTTCTGAGAAATGGGCCTGACCCGCGGCTTCCATCAGATTGTGACTGAGTGCCCTCCAAAATGTCCGGCCCGCAACAGCCCCGCTCAGATCTTGCAGGCTCAAGACTGTGGCTTTCTTTATGCAACCAATCCATCTCATTTGGTCCACTTCTGCTCCCTCTCTGCTCCCTCTCTGATTCCTCTTGCCTTTGACATTCCCTAGCATGATTGTCTTCCCCAGTGAGTCTTGCTTTCTCATGATGCTGCTTCGTCTTCAGGGAGAAGGCAGGGAACCTTTGGCCATGAAGGCCAATTTCGGCAATCAGTTCCTTGCCCCAGCTGCTTTTCCCAGTTGGCTTTTATTCCAGGATGGAGCAGGGCTCCCCATCTGAGCTAGAGGTGCACTTCCTGCTGGCTCAGCTTCTGGGGGGCCACCTGTCAGAGGCAAGCCGCTTCCCCTGCAAAATGCGGATAAGGTCAAAGCTAAAGTTGCAGGGATACCCGCTCTCATATGCACGCACTGGCAGTGTGTTTACTGGTGTTGCCCAGCACACACAGCAGTCCCTCTGCTGCTGCACCCTCCAAGCGAAGCTAAAAAGGATGCAAATACTCTGACCAGTATTCTTGCTAGGACTTGTGCAAATTTCTCTCTTCGCCTTTCTCATGAGGAGGCTATAAAGCAGGGGTGCACAACCCTCTTCAGGGGCCACACTCCTGTGGCCCTGACACTGCTAAAACTCAACAACATGGCGGGGGCAAAAAACAGGTAGCTTGTTCTCAGAGTGCTACAGATCCTCGCCAACTGAAATGTGTCCTTTTTAAGGCTCCTTGGTAATGCGCTGATGTTTGGCGGGATGCTGTCTTTGTTTCCTTCATCACACAGCACGGCAGAGGCAACCAGGGACCACATAAGAGAACAGGGGACTCAGCAGCTCAGGGGCCATACCTTGCCCATCCTTAACCCTGACCCATACAAGAGTCCTACTTCTCAGATCTAATTCCTCAGTACACATCAACTTTTCCCGTAGAGCAGGGGTAGCCAAACTGAGGCTTGCGAGCTGCATGCGGCTCTTTGAGTTTATTTTGCAGCTCTCAGAGGGACCGAAAAAGCCCTCTAGGACACAGCCCCTCAGTTATGCGAGAAGTTCTTGGTGAAGACCCCCAGGGGGCGCTATTCCTGTATGCAGCAGAGGAGCTCCTCTCTGTTCACTTGCTACAAGCGGTGGCGTCTTAATTAGATCCGCTTTAAGCTGGGTCAGCCCAGGAGGCATGAAAGGACTGTTACAACAACAGATGGGTGACCTAATTGGCGCATCCAGGGCAGGCAGCAGTACTGGGTGACTCTGCCCTCCCCCACACCTTGGAATCAAGACCGAAAGGCGATAGGGCTGTTTTCATGCGAAGTGTTTACTCATGGGAAGGGTGCTGTAAGAGCAAGTTGGAAGCTACCTCAGATAACCTGGGAAAGCTGCCTACCGTCTGTTGGAGGTAGGTGATGAATACATGATAATGCATGTGAGTGTGGAGCAGCCTGCCCCCTTTGGCGGGACCATGGGGAAGCACAACCCTTGCGGCTGAAGAGAAGGCAGCTGTGGTGGCCATGAAGGAACTAGGTCAGACTTGGAGGCCAAAGCCTCCCACTGGACTTTCGAGAAAGTGGCCTGCCACCCTGCTGTAGCAGCAAACTGCTGTGGTGGGGATATCATTTAAGTGAGCTCAAATTGCAAGCATCTGCATGGTCAAGAAGAGGGTTTTCGCCATGTTTGGACATACCAGGAGCATAAGAAGCGGTTGTACAACTTGCAATGGCAATTGGAGAAGAGGAATGTTAGCTGTGTGTCTCAGAACTGAAATAATACACAAGGTTGTCATGGGGGGGCGAGGGGAGACGGTCGCTTAAGAACATCAAGGGTCCAAGCTGCATCATCAGTCCGTGGTGGGCAGTTCTGCCATTTTTCAGCAGCAAGTGTCACTGCTTTTCAACTGCTTTGTCCATTTTGAGCAGGGGATGCAACTTGTAGCCCTCCAAATGTTTTGACCTCTTAATCTCATTGATGGATCAATTCCATCGAGGAAGCCACAACCTTGAGTTTGCAAGAGCTGAGCAGCACTATCAAGGACTGGACATTTTGGAGGGCACTCAATTCATAGCATTGGCAGAAGTCAGAGGTGACTTGACAGCACAAAACACATTCCATCACCCGTCACCACTAGCTAGGCTGGCTAGGACTGGTGGAAGTTTCCAGCCAAAACATTTGGAAGGCAACAAGCTGCCCATTCCTGATTCTGAGCATATGTCTCTGCCCTGCTCAGTGTGTGCTGCTTTGGTTGCATAGCCAGATTAATCATAGGGCTAAGTGGGCAGCTTGGGGGCCTGTCAGCTAGCCCAATTCCCAGCTTTCAAATAAAGAAAAGCACAAGTCTCTAGCCCTTTAGAACCACGAACATAAGACAAAGCATCCAGACATGTTCCAGTTCTCTTGGGAGCAATGAGTCTTTCAAGCTGAGCATTTAAACAATGAGTGCAGTCACAGCTATGATCAATATTTGGCCACAGTGGTCCATGTAGAGCGAAGACTTGCCTGGAGAGTGGACTTCCTGGTTCATTTGGAACCCCCTTGCCACATGGAAAAGTGATTACCACCCACAGAAAACAGCTGCAACGCTCAGAATATCAGTCAGTAGCCTATCCAGCGCCAAACAAAGGGTAACTGGACATGACAAGAGTGCCCATTCCTTCAAACTCAAATCAAAAGTACACTGTTGACTCTGTGTGTGTGTGTGTGTGCGCGCGCGCGTGCCAGATGTCATGCGTTCTGTACTGGAGGCAGAATAGGAGGCCTACTACAGATGGTTACTATGGGCCTAGCATGGCCTTGACCTGGCTGTGTTTGGCTGGAGTCATGCCCAGACACCTAACTGGAGATGCCAAGGGCTGAGTGGGGCCTTGCCGCTGTTCCCAGCCTCCTCCTTCCACTCTTGCCTCTGGCTGGTGGCCACAGCCCCCCTTTCCGACACACACCTACAGGGTTCACAAGGTGTGGGTGGAAGCCTCCAAATAGGCCCTTCTTAGAATAGCAAGTGATTTGAAGTCGAAAGTGGTTTGAAACCATGACATGCACCACCCACCCTGCAAAACCCAGCTCATTCCACTTGTGGGAAATTTTGTGAGGACTGTCACAAGTTCTTCTTCCATAAGTGTCCCAAGCGTACCCGTTTGTCATGGCCACTTTTTAAATTATCCCACTGCTATCCCCTTTTGCCTCTTGTGAGGAATCCAAAATGGCTGCCCTCGCCATTTTACTCTCACAACGTCCCTGCAAGGCTGTGCTTCAGTGATCAACCCTTTGACGGCCGTGTGGGAACTAGCACCAGGGCAACGCTCTCAACTATCGTGCCCTGCTGGCCCTTGTTGGAGGGAATACGGAACAACAGGCTATTATTGTTATGAAGTAGCGGCACCGATCGGGGAGGCTCTTTCTCCCTCGGTACACCACGCATTCGTATTCCGCACGATCGCTCCGTGGTGGATCCGGGGAAGCGGCTCTGATAAAACCAACTACCCGCAAGTCCTAAGCTCCGCCGGTGCGTCCAGGGTTACAGAAGAGACTCTGCAACTGAATCTTCCAGCAGGCGGCGCCGCCACCGCCCTGCCACCATCACTCCGCCTCCTTTGGCGAAGTCTCGCTAGGAAATGACCTAAGAGGAAGCCCTGCTGGTTTGCAAGCAATGGAAAGAATCCGTCTTGCTGCTGGCACCGCCTGACCCCGAAGCGGGTGCAAAAAGTAAGAGCCGCCGCCGCCGGAGCTGCTGCGCGGCTGCTTGGGCCAGAGGGGCGCTTCTGCTGGTGGCGGGGCGAATACACGGAGGATGCCCATCCTGCACTTGCACTCCATGCTTGAGGTGCTGCCTTTCCTGCTGCTGCTGCTGCTGTTCTTGGCTCTGGGCTTTTTCCTGATCTACCTCCAGCGACCCGAAGCAGAAACCAAAAAGAACTAGGGGTGGGCGCGTGGGCGGGTGCCGGTCTCCCACGTCACGATGCCGCTCTTGGAGGTGGAGGTGTGACAGACTAAAGACGGAAAGCAGGTTGGTAACTTCTGAACACCCGCCTCCTCCTGCGTGGGGCTGCCCCATGGAGAGCAGCTTGTTCTGCCTGTTAACGTGGGTGGAGCAGTCCACCCCCCCGTCTTTTTGCGGGCAGCGGGGAGGGCTGGACGGGGAAGCGGGCGCACGCAGCCCGCGCTGGCATGCCGAGTTCCGTGGGCGCCTGTCAGCGCTGCCTGACCCCCAGTGTTCAGCATTTGGCCTCCAACACAGGACCCCTTCGTAATTACAGGCTACTCATGTTAGGCAGAGGGAAATGTGAGCGCATGAAGTGGGGCTGCCTCATTCTGCTTGCGTGGTAATGTCTCATGTGGAGCGTACATAGTTCTGCCCATGTGCAAAAAAGTGGAGAACAAGAGGACCGGGCATGAACACATGGATGAAGTGCTTGGAGAGTTAAATATTTTAAATAGTGCATGAATAATGATAACAACAACAACAACAACAACATATGTGTTGTGAAGAATGTGCATGAAGGCAGAATGCTTCCATAAATGAAGGATCACGACCACATAACAAATCCCTCATGTAAAGACGTCTTGACTCCCTTCTGTGATCTACAAAATCGCAGTGTGATTTTTCCAGGTCATGGAACCCACATTAGCTGATGGAACCCACATTAGTTACACTTGTGTGAAAGAGTGATTTAAGAGTGATTTATCTGGCTAAAGCCGCTTGAGAACGTATGATAGGAACTGACTCCGTGACACATCCCTTTGCTAGAAAATGTGTTTGTATTTTGGTGACAGTGTTACTTATAGTGATTTCCCGGTGTAGGAATATTCCTTGCTCCATTTTTGTCACTGGAGATGTCGGTGGCCACTGTGGCGCAGAGCACTTTTCGCCAGCTTAGGCTGGTGCACCAGCTATTGCCCTGCTGAAAGATCTTAGTTTCATGGATCAGGAACTGGTAACCTCCAAGTTAAATTGCTGCCAGCGGCTACCTTTGGAGAGGTTTCATAGATCAACACAGAATGTCTAGCTTGCTCACTGAAACTGGGCATTCTGATTGCTTCATACGAATGCTTCAAGAACCGCACTGGTTCCGGGGCCATTTGTGGGCTCAGTTCAAAGCACTTGTTTTTACTTTGAAAGGACTTTATGGTTCGAAGGATCCTCTGGCCTGCCAATAGAACGAGACGTTCAGTGGAGACTCTTCCGTGGGTGCCCTTGCAGCAGATGGCTTCAGGGATGAGTCCTCAGCGATGGTGCCCTGATAAAGGAAAGGGCTGCCCAGTGCCTACTTGGTTGCCATTTCAGTGAAGACCTTGTTTTCAAAGGACTTCTAACATACTCATTTATATATAATCAATAACCAATGTTCTCTGGCAAATGGCAAAGAGTTCATCTGATACAACACACATATGTGAAAGAAGAAGATTGAAGACAGGGTAATGAATTCCACAGGAATACAGATAATGAACAGTCATGGACATCTAAAATCTAAGTCTCTGAAATGCCAAGAAAAAAGAAATATCTTGGCCAAAAAGATTCCAATGTGGGTCCCAGGCAACCCCCTTTGAAGATTGCATAGAATCATGGAATAGTAGAGTTGGAAGGGGCCAAGAAGGCCATCGGCTCCAACCCCCTGCTGGTGCAGGATGGCAGTCACATTATCTCACTCAGATAACTTCCTAGTTTCTTTCTGAATGTCTCTAGAGTAGGAGCACAGCGAGAAGGCATCTTGCTTCTAGCCAGCCACCTGACTTTCCTTGGTGAGGGCATCTGGAGAAGGGACTTTGAAGATGGCCCAGGCCAGCCCATGTGGCCAGAGCTGTTCCTTACTCTGGTCCCAGGTCATTTAGGACTTTCATGGGCAACACCAGCACTTTGGGTCAGGGTTGCGAATGGACTGGGAGCTGACAAAGTGTGGTCCCATGTGATCATATCAGCCAAGGCCAGTTATGCGTAGCCGTTCTGTTTTGGGGGGGGGGAATGGAATCTCGGAGCTATCTTCCAAGATAACCCTGTGGACAGCACATTGCACTGAATCTGCCTTATCTTTGCTGAAAAATTTTTATTGTGCTTTTAGTCTGAGTAATTTGTATCATGTGATGAGTGACTCTTTACTGACTTGTTATGCTTTGTTTGCTTTGTTTTGTTTTTAGACCTGGAGGATTGTTTGATGGGCAAGGTGGATGCCTTATGATAACCATTAATAGTCTTGTGAAGTATAAAATTATAGAAAGTATTGTTGTAATCTTTTCTAGACATGATTGAGTTTCCTTATAACTGTGAAGGTAGCTAAGGGCAGGCTTCTGAACCATGCTGAATTGTACTCCTAATTGCTACTGAATTTTGCCCTCTCTGTTAAATGGTGTCTTTAATTTTGCTGTGCAAGTCCCTTTCAGATGGTTGACTTAAGGTGCAATCTTATGCATGTTTAGACAGGGCTTGGGGCATGCTGGAACTTCTGAGCCATTTTTCTGTCTAAACATGCATGAGATTGCACCCCTACTGCATTATTCCGAGGCAAGGAGTGGTGCGATGTGAAGAAGAGAAGGAAGAGTCAGGATGGGGAAGGTGGTGGTCCGGTAGCAGAGGAGGTGTAGGCAAGGTGGTTGAGGCAAGCCTTTGCTGAAGGTTGGGACTGTAAGCAGAAATGTGCAGGAAGAGAAGGAAATACCTTGATACATGGAAAGAATGAGGTGGCCTTTTCAGGCACGGCAGTGGGCACAGAGTGAGCAGCATGAGGGAAAGGGGTAAGGAACAGGGGAGCTTGAAAATGAGGAGCAAGGAGGAGATGTGAGATTTAACCAAAGGCTGAGAGATGGAGAGGGTTTGGAACTTGAAGGAAGGCCCAAGGCCTTTTGAGTGGCAGAAGCGGAAAACCCCACGGGTGCTCTTTTGAGTGTGCACAGTGGAGCAGAACTATGCAGCGCTTCCTGGAACCAAGCCTTGTTTTGTCACCTTGCTTTTGCCTGTTTGCAGGGGAAGCACATGTCACAACTGTGGAATTCCGATGAGTGAGCAATGTGCCGCTTGTCCGGCCGCTTGTCCATTCAGGGTTCAGAGGCTGCGCAGCAAGCATTTGCTCTAGCACCAAGCCGGGCGAGCAGGTAAGGCTGGATATTTATGCAAAAGGAAGACTCCCCCTCAGCTCGCAAGAGAACAGAAGAGAACAGTGCAGAATCCCAGGATCTTTGCGTGACAAGATCTTTTTGCTTTGACTTTATCAAATGTTGAGGTGTTCGGTTTCATTTTAATTGCTTGGGTGTAACTAGCAGGGCTTTTTTTCCTACTAAGTGGGGAACCAGACAGCATATATGAAAACCAGGAACAATACTAATTACTTCCTTCTCTGTTCTCAGTAGGCAGTATTTTTAATCTCTTTTCTCCTCGCAGCTCCCACGATACTCAGCTGCCTCCCTTACCAAACAAGCATTGAAAGAGGAAAGCAATGGGAGACACAGGCAAAGAAGACTGTAAAATTGACACATTTGATGCAGAGATTCAACAGCTGTTGAAAACAGCCCTCAAAGGTCAGCATCTCTTGCTCACTCTTTCTCCTCACTACTTCCCATGACCACCACATCTTCTGCTTCTGACATGAGTGTGTCAGTGGAGAGTGCTGAATGTAGAGCTTTGGAAGGCCTCAACATCCCCAGTGACTGCCTGCTCCAGTACGAAACTGCCCGTTCCTTATGATCATCTAACATATCTGGAAGTTAGAAGGAGAGCAACTGGAGATAGGATCTTTTTTGTAATAGCTTCCCAGGTGTAGAATAATCTGTTCAAGAGACATGTCTGGTGTCTGTTTAATGGACACCAGGTTACAAGAGGATTCTCCTCTTATCTCCCAGTTTAACTAACCAGTTTGAATGACATTCAAAGGGGATTAAGCAAGTTCAAGGAGGATAAGACTATCAAGGGCTAATAGTGACCTCCATTATCAGAGGTAGTACACCTGTGTACACCAGTTACTGGGGAACTGAACTGGGCAGGGTATGTTACACACATGTCCTCCTTGTGGTTTTCCCATGAGCAGCTGGGTGGCTGCTGTGTAAGCCAAATGCTGGAACAGGTGGGACTTTGGTTCAAGCCAGGGGGATTCTTTTTAGGTTCATAAGCTTATATGAAGACATCTTGATCTTTGCTGGCCTTTTGAGGACTCTTCTTCTTGGCCTGTTTTAGAATGGTGCTTTAAATTGTGTTTATTTTTTAATGTCCATTTGTATGATTTGGGGTGGAGAAAGCACTTATTCCATACATCATCCACTTCCAAAATTCTGTTCTCAAAGAGAAGACACATTAAATGCCCATCAGAAATTATGGAATGCAGCAGTAAAGCATTGCTGCACAATCTGAACACCCAGAATGCTTGAATCTGTGTCTCAAGGCAGCATTGAGAGTGTTGTCTCTTCTTCTGTAGACCCCAGCAGCGTGGATCTGGAGAAAGTGGCCAATGTAATTGTGGACCAGTCCCTCAAAGACTGTGTGTTCAGCAAAGAGGCTGGCCGCATCTGCTACACCATCATTCAGGTGGGAGCCCAAGCATCCCATATTTTGAGAACCAGCAGCTTGTTCAGCACTGTTAACTCTGGGCAACTAATCTGCAGATTCTGTTCGCTACTTCTCATGGATGTGGCTATAAATGAAAAACATAAATCACATCTTACCATGAATCTTCTGGCCAGTAAAGTGACATTTCACTCCCAGTTCTGTAGTTCACCAAAGCGTAAAGCTAAGTTTCTCCAAAATGCCTTTCTTTTGTTTCTTCCCTCTTTTGCTCCTTTAAAAACTATTTCCTTTGTGACTGATGGATGGGTAAGAGGTAGATGAGTTATGGCAGGAGGAGGAGATGAACTATCCTTGGCAATCAATAATAATGTAAGTAAAGAACCTTTTTTCACACACACACACAGAGCAAGGAGGAGAGCCAGTGTGCTGCATAAAAGCAATTCTGGATTGGCCTGCTGCTCATCTTGGGCCTCCCGCCAGCCATACTTCCTTTCCTGCAGATGGAGCTTGGTTTAGGCTGCCCTGCTGAACATGGTGGGTATCCAGCCCAGCTAAGAGGATAGAAGTTGAATTTATCCCTTCAGCTGCAGCCCAGGCTTGGTGAGCAAAACTCATTAATGACCCATGTAAAGTTTTGCCTCCCTCCCAACACTTAAGAAGTGGCTAAGAAGCACTTCTAGGCTCCTGCTTCATTAAATCAGATCTTTTTCTGCACAGTGATGGGGTTTGAATAGCATGAGAGGGATCAAAAAGACACCAGTTGCCACAGCTTAGACTACATACAGCATCCTCCGGGGCTCCATGTCTTTGTTTTTGTCACAGGTGGAAAGCAAACAGGTAGGCCAGAGCATCTTCCGGCGTGGCCTCCTCAACCGACTACAACAGGAGTATAAGGACCGTGATGAACTGCGAGCTCGGTCCCTCCAGGCCTGGATCTGCTTTGTCACCTTTATCTGCAACATCTTTGACTACCTGAAGGTAAGGGGTTGATGCTGAGAATAGGTTATCACTCCTCCTCAGATCGAACTTCAGGGCCGATATGGTACTGGTTATACAGCCCTTTTTTATATAGAAACATAGAAACAGCGAGTCAGAAGGGGCCTCTGGGGCCATCTAGACTGACCTCCGGCACCAGCTGGCTCCGCTCACGACATGCCCACCATGTGGACGTCCAGCCTATCCTTGAACACCCGCACCAATGGGGCCTCAACCACCTCTCGTGGAAGCCCATTCCACACCCTCGGGGTCCTGACTACAGTCTTTTAAAATAATACTTGCCAAACAGTTTAAAGCAAGAAGAACGAATCAGTGCAAGCACATGCATGTCTACTCAGACATAAATCCCATAGATTTCAGTGGCATCTGCTTCCAGAAAAGGGTGTGTAGGATCGCAGCCTAAAATGTAAGTCCAATGTACATGATAGACTGAAAGTCTGCAAGATTGCAAAAGCTGCTGAAAACAGCAACATTAATAGTGTCTCTAAAAAGCTTGTGATTTTTGTAAATCGTTGCATGGGTCAAAATAGGTGCTGCAGGGCTGGATGGGCTGATCCTGTGCACAGCCCTCCCCTGACAAACACCTGCTTGGGTGTTTGTAAGGACCAGGTTCTTCACACATATGTGCAGAAAGCTGCTGTATGCAAGGAGACACCCTACGGACTCCTTGTGCTTCCTCAAGGATAGGTGCACTCGGCACACAGATGTACATGCAGAGAATTTGTGCTCATAAACATCCACTAGAGCTCATGGCCAATGGTCGGAGATGATGGAAGTGGTGAGCAAAAACATCTGGAGCAATTCAGATGGGAGAGAACTGCTGCTGGGCCTTCCAGATTAACAACTTCATCACAGTGTGAATTTTGGCAGGCGAGATCCAGCTTCATTGGATGTGCGTTAAGTTTGCACCCGAGGCAGAGGGCTCCGTTCCAGACTGGTGCCCTCCAGATGTGTCTGACTGCAACTCCCATCATAGCCAGCCAGCCAGCCAGCCAGCTGTAGTTCTGGTGGCACACAGCCTGGGAAAGCTGCTCTAAACCAAAGACCGCTCTCAGCAGAACAGTCTTTGTTAGCTTTTAAGGAGCCACTTGTTTTCTTTTCCTGGCATTTTTGGGGGAGGTCTTCAAAGAAATGGCCAAGGGCTTGTAAACATATGTTGATTGTTTTGTAAGCGGATAAGGAAGTTAATGTTAATCATCAGTCCACTATTCATTCTTAGGTCAACAACATGCCCATGATGGCGCTGGTGAACCCAGTCTACGATTGCCTGTTCCGCCTCGCACAGCCCGATAGCCTGCAGAAAGAGGAAGAGGTGAGTGTGACCAGGGATGAGAGCCACTTGGCCCTGTGGAAAAGAATCAAAGTCTAGACTGTCCAATGGGCAGAGAGTTACAATCTCCTGGCGGGGAGGGGGAGCCTGAAGAGAATGTACAGGAGCCAAAGTGGAAATGGAGAGCAGCTAGACAGGTGAAGTTGGGGACAACCCCGAAAGAGGGTGATTGGGACAGAGAATGGCTGTGGGAAGTGCAAGGAACTGATTCACAGAGCAACTTTGTTGTTTCATTGTAAACACATGCAAACTTTTGCTGCTTCGATGCCAAAGAAACCTTCCCACAGGAATTGGTACGTCTGTGTAGAAGCAGCAGGGTCTGCTTTTTCACCATCCTTGTCTTCTGCTTTAATGTACAGTTGTCAGCATGGACAGCTTTCCTGCTTTACCCGTGTGTTTGATGCCTTCTATTAAGGTGGACTGCCTGGTGCTGCAGCTGCACCGTATTGGTGAGCAGTTAGAGAAGATGAACACCCAACGGATGGAGGAGCTCTTTTCCCTCCTGCGAGACGGCTTCCTCCTGCAGGAGGGCATTAGCTCCCTGTCTCAGCTGCTACTGCTGGAGATCATCGAGTTCCGGGCCGCTGACTGGAAAATGACCGATGCAGCACAAAAGTACTATTACAGCGAGGTCACTGACTGAATGGTCCGTTGCTCGCAGCACCACACTCTGCACAGTTTGAATTGCCACTCTTGACCCCTTTCACCAGCAGATTTCATACAAAAGAAAAGCAAACAAAGCTGCAATTATTTTTAATGCCTTTTGTCTAGCACTTTTTTGTATATAGAACGACTAATGCTCTCTCTGGGTAGCTCTTTGCACTAGGTAATGGCTGGCTGCAGTTGAGCTGGGAGGGAAGTATGACTGGGAGGTGGGGGAGAACCACTGCTCCTGTTGTGTTGCACTAAAGAGGGACCTATATTAATTATTGCTGCCTGCTGGACCGGTGTTTTCCATGGAGCTGTGGTCTTTCCTTACTTGCATCTCCCCACTATAAGTATGCAGCCCAGAATGCAAAGGGACAGTGGTTTAAATCCAGACTGATCAGAACTTAATTTACTCCAAGAGGCCAGATGCTAAGAATATCCCTCTCTCCTGGCTGCATTTGCAGGGTGGGGAGCCTCTTTCAGCCCAAGTCCTAAATTCACTTTCAGAGAAACTGAGGCAGGCTGAGGGGGCCCATTCCAGTGGTGCTCAGCAGTAAAAATACACAAGAAACTCTGGCTTAAAGCTCTTTCTGCCAATTACTAAACCTTAGGAGAGACTGTTGGCAAAGGAGAAAATGTGGAAAACTGGGAAACATCGAACTATCAGTGGTCAAGTGGATGTGACCCTCTGGGGAACCTCTGAGAGCCAGATTGTGATTCTAGGAGAGGCAGAGGTCACCCACCTGTTTTTGAATTTCACCTTCTTTCACAGCTGAACCCAAAAGTAAAGGTGATTCCGCCAACAAATTACAAGCAAAGGATTTCTATTTGCTTCCCTGTAATCCAGGCTGAGGGCTCTGCATGCCAACTGCTGGCAACCTGAGCAGTGGTGCTCTTGCCCTCACTTCCTGCTTGTGGGCCCTGGTGGCCTCTCACTGGCCACTGTGGGAAACTGATGCTGAGCTAGAGGGCTTTTGCTCCGATCCAGCAAGGCTCTTCTGCTTGCCGAAGGTACGTTTCCAGTTGGCATGGGTTGCCACTAGGAAACACATGTGATTTGGACAACTTTATCACTTTCTGAAATCAAAAGGTGTGTTGTGTGCCACTGATCTTTCCAAATGGCAAACAGTTTCACTTCTTTACTGCATTTCCTGCTTCTTGTCAAAAGCAGACAGGTTTTTAAAACCACCGTTCACTTCAAATTTGCATGCAAGGGCAGGACTGTGTGTTTAGCAGATTATCATTAGGATAAAAACGAGCATTGTTTCTACCACCGATATCCTTCTCCTTTGCCAATGGAAAATAAGGTGCCTGAAGGCTGAAATTCCAAGAATGCTTAGAGCTACACATTCATTAATTTCTGAGTGAGGTCTGCCAGGACTGTACTCCTTTAGATTGTAAGTTTGAATGCTTCCTGATGCAACCAAAATAACCCTCTCCAAATACAGAAAACCAGCACTGAAGGCTAGGACCCTTCACTTTGCCATGCTAGCATGGCACAAGCAATGAGTTTTTCATGGGAGAGCATTTGGTCATGTCATTGCTAAGTGGCAATTAGATGTGGAGGAATGAATATGTTGTTTGATATTCAGTTATCTAGAAGTAAATTCCATCAAAATCAGGGAGGGGGTTTATGACCAAGGAAATACCTTTAGAAGTGGAAAGGGGGCAGCTTTTCCTTGTGTTTCTTGCCTTTAAAGTAACAGTCCTGGTAAATTGCTTAGATTTTAAGATTTTTAACAGATCATATACTACTCTTCTGAGGTCAGAAGACAATTTTACTGACTTTGGTGTAGCTTAGTCGTAGGGCATACTGTCCTGTGAAAGCTACTGCCCAGCTGTTAGTTCTGAGTGGTGCTGAAGGCTTCTGGAAAGGCATGCTGGAGTTTGCAGACTCCAAATGACAATTCAGCCACACATTGTTTTTGAAATAGGTTGCCATCTCTTTGGTAGGCATCCTTCTGTAGCTGTGGCAGAGTGCTATGCAAGTGCTATTACAACCTCCGGTGCCCATTAGGTGCTGTTCCTTCCTTTTCCCTCTTCTGGCCAGCTCAGGTGTAACAGCTAAGGCAGTGCCTTCACCCCTACAGGTGGTGTGAAGCTGACATGCTGGTGCAAAGTATCACTCCACAGCAGAAGTATTCCCTGGAGAACATGCAACTACTCATTGATTTTGTAACTTTTATATAATAGCTACTTTGAACTACAGTATTGTACTTTCCTGATAAAAGGGTTGGTTTGCTTTGGATTTTTTTAAAAAATAAACATTTTAGACATCTACCTATACTCTCTGTTTCCCATCTATCAAGGAGCTATATTAGATGAAAAGTTTCTTTATGGCAGGGCTGTAAGTAGCCATATAGCCTGTTTCCTGTGGCAATCAAGAATTGTCTCTAGGTGACTAGCAAGGGAAGCCTCATGGAACTTTGGTCTATTTTTTTAGCCATAGAAATTGCAACAAAATGTTGCTGTCTAGTGTTGCAGTTCCCCTTCTAGCAACTATATTTCATTCACCTTCCCACTGCAGTTTCACTTCTGTCCTCTCTCAGGTTGTTTTTTCCTAAAGGCTTTCTGGTATTTTGGCATCCCTGTTTTGGAGTTCTTCTGTCCTGTATGTGGATGGTTCCACTTTGGCTGCAGAAGGACTAGCCCTCACAATTGGGATAGTGATAAGAGGTATTAGGAAGGCAAGTAAGGCTGCTTTCTGGCATATTCTTTGGAAGGTAGTAGGTGGCAGTGTTCAGCCATGAAAATGTTTGCTATACACTTCCATAAGGAGACTAAAAACTACACATTGTCTTTTCTATCACTCTTCTTATCTCCTAGGGGATATGAAATCTTTTTCTCTAACAGGCTCAAAAATTTGTATGGCTGGGAATCAGCCTCCCATTCTATAGGTAAGGTTAAGATGTGAAGACTCCCCCAGCCAAGATGCAGCACGAGCCATTTAACATGCTTCCTACACATACAAGAAGACAGCAAGGATTAAGGTTGGTTCAGCTGTACATGTGAATCACTTGGCTGCAGCATCAAGGGCCATTTGTACAATATTTTGTGACTAACTACCCTTTAAGAGAGATCAATTTTCAGTCAGGTGGCAGTGACAATGGGAAAATGAATATGCAACTAACCCATGATACAAAAGCATTGCAGAGTGAAGCTGTTCACCAGAGATGCAGGAAGAACATCAGAATGGTGTTTCCCTCTTTATTACACCTTAATTTTCAGTCCAAGTCTAATTCAATCCAAGATTTAGCCAGAAGACTCAGCAGAAAGTACAAAATCCTCAGCTATTTTTAAACAATCCCTTAGAAGGCTACCTGTAACTTAAGCAAGCCATTCCGCATCACAAGTGAACCCTCTGACTTGAAAAAGATAATACACAAAGAAGCACAGAGCGCCATCTGTACCAAGGAGATTGCGTAGGAAAGTAACCATTTTCTTTTAGCTAAGGTTTACCGTACAACATATTCTCCGAAAGCAAACTGAGAAAGCTGGCCACAGTTCTCCCAACCTTGTGATAGACAAAGAAAGGCATATGGGAATTTTGAGAAACACTTGCTCATAGCAAAGTCAGTCATCAAGTGCCGCTTCTGCAGAACAGTGTATTCTCTACCCCCATCGAAAGTGAGCAAAAGCTCGATTGGCCTCAGCCATCTTGTGCAGCTCATGTTTTTTCTTTATGACAGGCCCCACATTGTTGAAGGCCTCCAGCAGCTCCTGGGAAAGCTTTTCAGGCATAAGGGTACGCCTGTGCTTATTTTCCCTGCATTCAGTGATCATCCACTTCATGGCTAAGAAACGCCGCCGGTTGTCTGACAGAGCAGTTGGGATCTATAAGAAACAAAAAGCAGGGAAGAATGTAATTCTGTGTTAAATGCCCTTAAATGCTAGACTACTTTAACTACCCTCCTATGTTGGTTTTACTTCCAGAAATCTTGAAGCTAAGATCTGGGTTCCAAAAAGCTTGGACAGGGGCACAGGGGGTGGACAGTGATGGATTCCTGCAGAAAAATCAAGGTATTAAGATTGCCAGAAAAGAACCTGCAAAAGACTTTCAAGCGTTATCCCCGTCTTACCATTTGAGGTTGTAAGGCCTTCAAAGGGGCTCTGCCAGCCACATGCAACCTTCCTGCCCACTCGGCAGCCTTACAAGTTTTTTTAAAAGTAAAAGAAATGCTAGACCACTGAGAATACCACTTCAAAGCAATTCAAAAGAAAAACAAGGGGGATCCCTAGGCTATGGAAAATCATCTCAGCCACAGAAAACAGTGTTAGTGAAGGGTGCCTTTTTTGACTCACTGTACCAAAGAAAAATTCAAGCCTGTGGCAACACAGAGGAAACTGAAATGGCTCCTCTCCTGATACTCAATTCAATGGAACCATGAACTGCTTGAGGGCTCTGAATGCTACTTCACAATGGTGGAAGCAGTTCAGCTAAGGGGGAAACGAACACAAGGGCTCTAGCCAGGGCTGGGTTTAAAGAAGTAGACCATGCCACCATTTAATTCTAACATGGACTCATACGTTCAGGCTGTAACCACCAAAAGTACATGCGATATGTAAATAAGCATATGTTCTCAAGAGAGCATTTTCTGGACTTTCCTAATCAAGAGCAATTCTGCTGGGTGGTATTATTTTATACTTTAATTATTGGCAATATTTACAGTACCCTTTGACTTTTCCACATTTTGTTGCGTTACCTCCTGGAATTGAAATGGATTTAATTGACATTATTACCACTTGAAGTACTCCAGATACTCTACACTGTGAAAGTGCAACATGTTTTCATTGTGACCCAAAAATTATTGTCTCACTTGATGCAATCTTACACAGGTTTCAATGGGAAAAATAGCATACAACCAGGAACATGTCCCAGCCAGCGAGACTGGTTGGAGGATGCTGGGAGTTTTAGACCTTTTTTTCTGTTGAAAACTTGCATTGAATTGTGCCCTTAGTTTCTCTCCTTCCCTTCCCTTCCCTTCCCTTCCCTTCCCTTCCCTTCCATCCCATCATGGCTCACCTGGTAGACTCTACCTCCCTTCTGAATACCAGAAAGCCCAATGATAGGTTCACAGTTTTTCAGTGCTTCATGAAAGATTTTGTAGGGGTTGCACTCAATGTTTTCTTTCTCCTTCTCGTCAGCTTTATGGTATTTCTCAAGCTGTTTCCTTTTAATCAATTCTAAAGTCTTAATTAAAAGCAAAAATAAAAACAGTTTGTTTACTCATGCTGAAGCCTTAATTACAAACAAAAGTCACCATAGCACAACTTCTGTGATAAACCTGCTGAAAAACTGGATTTACAAACTCAGTAAGAAATTCACCAGCTGCATGCCTCCTGGATAGGTTATCTGTGCATGGAGCCTCAAGGATCTTTCTGACAGAGTCCCATTTACAAATAAATTCACAACATTTCAGAAGCCTTCAGAACAGAATCTCATTCTTTGAGTTTTGTCCTAAAACAACAGCTAGCAAACTTCTTGCAGAATAAGCTTTTGTGGACACGGTCTACTTCATCAGATGCAGCTCCCTGACTACTGGAAGCCTGGCTGACCCAGGTCAGAGCCATTAACAGGTGCTACCTTTAACATTTTCTTGGTCATCATGAAAGTCCTTAAAAAAGATGCAAGTTCCCAATTGGCATTGGATTTAATACTGAAAAGACAAATTTCACATTCTGATTCATGATTGTTTACTTCTTTTGTCTATAATGATAAATTACGGAAGTTATAAATTGTTCGTGATCCATGCAGAATATGGGATTTTGTTAGCAAAACTTTTAGTGGAAAAAAGATAATTTAAAAAAAAACGGCTGGAGATGTAGAAACTGAGGCTCATGATAAAGGGATTAAGGCAAGAATAGGCAGTTTCAATGTTGTAGTAAAAGTAGAAATACTGTTCTTTCATCACATTGGCATTAATCAAAGGAAACGATCAGAAATTGAAAGTTAATGTTTTACCTGATTTATAATGGTTCGGGCCAAAAATTTATCCCCTCCCTTCATCATCATGCTAGTGAATTTGCTGTTATGACAAAAAATAAATGTGATTATACCAGCATTGCAGGTATCCTTACTATGAAATAAGATCCTTATAACTAAACTCTGCTATTGCACAATGCATTATGCCATTTGCAGAGATTTGGGTGGACAGTACTAAGTGAGATAAGGTGATTTCAATGTTAGACTCAGGAGATCTGGTTTCTTGCCTAATCCAATGGACACATGTCTGCTTCAGCTGTAGAGAGGCAGTGTGGCACAGCAGTTAGAAGCGCTGAACTGGGACTCAGGAGATCTGGGTTCTAAGCCACTCAGCCATGGATTTCACTGAGTGACTCTGGGCCAGTCACAGACTCTCAGCCTAACCCAGCTCAGAGAGCTGGTGTTGTGAGGATAAGATTGAGCTGAGGAAGAGAATTATGTAAGTCGCCTTACATTGCTTGAAAGGAAAAAGGAGGGATATAAATAAATGCCTACAAGGCTGTTGTGAGGATAAAATGAGAGGACTATATAAGCTTCCCTGCAGTTCCTTACAAGAGGAAAAATGGTGGGATATAAATGTAATTGTGAGGACACATCACCCTTATTGAAGAAACAACAGAGGAGTTGGCCACTGCAGCATGATGCAGCTCAGTGGCATACTAGCATCTAATGAAGTGGCCCACCACAGGTCATGCGTCTGCAGCTTCCACATTCCCCCATGTTTCTGTTGCCACATCAATCCTCTCTGCTAAATGTGCCGTATCTTCCCTCATATTGTGGAAATGCTTGGTGGAGGAAGTAAACCACTCCACAAGCCAACAGCTGCCTACAGCCATGAACAGAAGGAACACAGAAAGGGTCAAAGAAAGACATAGCATCAGGTCTTTAACACCACCCAGCATATGCTTACAAAACTGGCACATAACAAGGAAGGCATCTAGGGAATATGTTGTTGCCACTGCAAATTATTTTTGTTTCTTTACACAGCTTTGTGCTCCAGAGCAAGATCTGAAACACAGAGGTGCAAAACTTCTCACTGTATCGTGATCTATCGTGCTGGGGCTGATGCTGTGCCTGTGATTTGGGGAAAATATGTGAAACGTTCTGGGGTATTCTAGATTGTTCCATAGCACAATAAAATGCTACCAATAAATTCCTAAGACTCTGAAATATCCTGCTTTTGGCACTGTGCTTCTTGGCTATTTCTACTAAAAATTCCTGGTATTTCTGTCTGCAATACTTTGGTCAACTAAAATACAATCCTATACAAAAAAAGCCTTCAACTCTCAGGATGCCTCATGCTGGCTTGAGCTTAGTATTAGTGGGAGTTGCAGGACTTTTTTTGTTTAACATGCATAGAATTTTACTCTTATTCTATGAAATCAATGAAAATTGTATATCAGATAGCAGATATAGGTACAAGAATGAGATGTAGTCATGATAGCATTCAGACCTTATCAATGGGTCATAGAACACAGAGCTGCTGAGATTGGCAGGGGCAGCCTTTATAGGCTGGGTTGCTCTGAGCTCCCACATAGCTTTTTCTTCCTCTGACATTAGGTCTGGAGATTGACGATACACTTCTTTGTTCACCTCTGGCTCAACGAAACTGGGATTGTATCGGGACCACCTGACCTGTGTCAGTCTATGAAAGATGTGAAGAAGAGAAAAAGAATGTCACAGCTGCATTTTCAGCCCCATGAACCTTGCAGCAGTCTGCATATAACATCCTATCTTGCAAACCAACCCTATGTATATATTAGAGTAAGTATTAATATCATACTTCAGACTAAAGGTCAGACTAGATGGTCCGGGAGGTCCCTTCTGACTTGCTCTGTTTCTATGTTTCTATGTATTCAATTTATAATAGCAGTGGCATAACTCACAAATTACTACTATTATTCCTCTCATGAGGAGGGCAGTACAAGTCCAAATTCACTGTGTACTTCTTTTGATGACGAGTTACCTAAACGCTGGTCTTTCAGAACACTGTTAAAGCCAGTTTTGGGGCTGCTTCTTCAGAAAGAAAGCAGAGTGATGAATACCTTACAAACTGGAAATATATTTTCAATGTCCCCTTATTTGTAGAACCCGTTATTTAATTTTGACCACTATACTCGAGACCAGCAGGACCTCCTGCTCTTGCAGGTTTATAAGATTCTATGCTTTCCGAACAAGGACTTCCCAAGTAAATTTCCCTCTGAAACTGTGGTTCCTAAATCAACGATATTCAGGATGCTATGCGGAGCTGAAACACTGGCTAAAGCACGATCTTTATAAGGAAAATTCGCTCTGCATTCCACGCCTTCGATCCAAAGGCGCCCATCGCTTCCTTACCCAGGGAGCCATACTTTCCATGGGCCAAAGAGCCGCTGCCCGACAACCCCAAGCTTCTCCACCATAGGGGCAGCCATCTTGCTTCTTTCTCAGGACCCCGCCAAGGGCTGTCCCAGCGCCTGCCTGTCGCATCAGAAGCGCGCTCCTGCAGAGCGACTTTTGCGGGCCGGAAGTCGTCCACGCCGTGAGAGAATCAGGTTTTTTTTTTTTTTTAATGCATATATCGTAGAAAATGTGTCATTCTGCTCTCTCATCGCCAGTTCAAAACCTTGCAAAATCAGAGACGAACCTCCTCCCACCTTCTTAATCAGGAGCGCGGGAGACAGCCTCTTCCGCGGCTTGCAATCGGAGAGAACGAAGGAGGCTCGAGCTTATATGATTGAGCTCTTCGCTTCTCCTGGGCGCTCTAAAGGGCGCATGGAAAAAAATGTCAGGATTGTACAGAGAAGTTGTCTAACTCTAGTGAACTGTGTAAAACAAATGGAAACCCGCTAGGTTCAGCATGACGCTAGTTTCAAGAAGCAAAGTCCTATTCAGACCAGAAAGAAAGACTGCACGCTGTGGGTTTTAGACAGTATTAATCCTTAGCTAACGCAGAACCCTGCAAGTGGGTCCTAGATCAAGTCAAGCCAGAGCTTTCCCTAAAAGCAAAAAAGATAAAACTGAGGCGGTCTGCTTTGAAGGATCATGAGAAGGCAAGAAAAGACGCTAGGAAAAGCCGAAGGCAAGAGAAGAAAAGACCAAAGAAAGGATGGATGGATTCCATAAAGGAAGCCACAGCCTTGAATCTAACCAGGGCTGTCATGGTCAAGACATTACAGAGGGCGCTCATTCATAGGGAGGACATAAGTGGGAGACAACTTGACAGCACATAACAACGCAGACCCATTGAAATGAATGAGACTCAGACTAACATTGGATACAATCCAATGTGACAGGCATAAAACTAAGACAAGCATGGCTCCAAAGCCTCTTATAAGAGCTGCACCTTATTCTGGAATGCTGCAGTTCCATAGAACCATGGGGACACTTTATACTGTAACACATTTTTATATTTTAGTGTTTTTCTATAAAACGTTCCCATTCTCTCCTCTTCCCTGATCCATTGCTCATTCTTTGCCAATGTATACAAGCTAATAACGCAGTATAACTCTTCATGCATCTGATGGTGCGGACTGCAGACTATGAACATGTATTCCAAAATAAACATCTTAATTTTTACAGTTCCACAAAAACTATTGTTTTTGCTGCAACCGACTAATATGGCTACCCCCTCTACTGTTTTCATTATAATAATCAGCCCCAATTTGCATTTGAGGGCTTCTGCTGTAGGGTGGTAGTCACATGAAATTAATTAGTTAATTAATAAACAAGTACATATCCTCTTATAAATGCATGGTTGAATATTGTGTATCAGTTGTGTATTGTCCAAGCACTTTGTTAACAACTAGCAATTGTTGTAGAAATTCAGATAAATCCTGGTAGAAAAAAGTTGCTTATACTCGTATGTCCCTTTGTGTTATAAAATCAAACCTGCAACATCTCTGCACCTCTTACTCAGAAAATACCAGAATTCCAAGACAGGCTTCTGTTTAGCATCATTTTCAAACTGTTCCTTTAAGACAGGGCTACTACCTTTGATTGGAAAAGCTTTTGCAGAATGCAGCTCCCAAGGAAAGTTATCCCGTCTACTCTTTGGCTAACAAAACCCATAAGGCTGACTGACAAGTTTTTCTAGCAGTATTGCAATCACCCTCGTTTGCATGCCAAGACCCACAATAATCCCTTAATGATCCTTATGTCAATCTCTTGTAATCAACACTATTGTCCCACTGCAGATTTCTCACATTCTTTTGACTGTGTTCTCCTGATTTTGTCATCTCCTGCCCTGCTGCTACGAGTATGTAATGTGAATCATTCTGTAACGTGCTTTACGTGGGGCTTCCCTTGAAGACGGTCCGGATACTTCAGTTGGTTCAAAACAGAGCTGCCAGGTTGCTGACTGGGACTGGGCATTATGTTCACATGACTCCAGTCATCCGACAGCTTCACTGGCTTCCCATTGAAGCCCGGGCCCAATTCAAGGTGTTGGTTATGACCTATAAAGCCCTAAACGGCTTGGGTCCTGGCTACCTGGAGCGCTTACATCCATATATGCCCGCCCGCCCCTTGAGATCTGCGGGAGAGGCCCTTCTTCGGGAACCCTCCGTGAAAGAAATTAGGAGGGTAGGTACTCGGAGGAGGGCTTTCTCTGCGGTGGCGCCCAATCTATGGAATATGCTCCCCAGAGAGGTCCGCCTGGTGCCGTCGTTATTTGTTTTTCGGCGCCAGGTGAAGACCTTTTTATTTAAACATCATTTTAATTGTTAACAATATTTACTTATTTATCTGGCCAGGGCGACTTCTCTTCTTTTCTTTTCTTTTATAACTTTTCTTTTATAACTTCTTTTATACTGTTTATATATATATATATATATATATATATATATTATTTATTTATTTATTTTATATTATTAATTTTAATTTTATATTGTTATTTTTGTATTGTATTTTATTGTGTTGTAAGCCGCCCCGAGGCTTCGGCAAGGGGCGGCATAGAAATGTTCTAATAATAATAATAATAATAATAATAATAATAATAATCAGAACCTATAAAACACTCTGTATATGTTCTAGAAGTTTGTATGTGGTCTCATACTCACCCAGCAGAGCTGTTTGTAAGGTTGGTCTCTGCAGAGGGTATCTGAAGGCTCAACCTAATAAACTGTCAAGGGTCTTAACGAAATCTGTCTCCCTGTGAATCCAAGCATACATTCTCCCAACTGGTATTTCAAGATTCCCTGACACAGTCTTACCAGATTATTTTTCATTTTTGTCCATCATGAGAATATTCTGGAGTTTGCACATCCAGATTATTAGAAATTCTCTGTACAATGGTGTGGTCCAATTCTGTGCGTATCTACTTGGAAGTGACTCCTACTGTGTCCACTCTGCCACATTTATATGCATTGGAATTCAAACTTTCAGTAATCATACAAAAACACTTAGCGATATGCAGTAACTAAAGCCAATCTCTATTCTTGGTGGTGGGGACAGGGGAAACAGAAGAGCTGAAGGAGGAGCATACTGAGCTGCAGGATGGAATTATTCCAGCTGACTGTGAAAAACTTTAAAAAGATGTCTCCAAACTGTATGACTGAGCAACAAAATAGCAGCTGAGGTTCAACATAAATGTAAAGTGATGCACATTGAGACAAAATAGAAATACTAATTTCACATATTAATTGATGGGGCCTGAACTGGTGGTGACCTGGAAAAAAAATGGTGCAGTCCAATTGAAGAGTTCAATGAAAACGTTAGCCCAGTGTGTGCCAGTTATGAAAAGGACAAATTCCATGTAAGGATTATTAGAGAAGAGACTGAAAATAAAGCTGTATGCTGTAAATTTATAATGTGGCCATATTGTGAATACGCTGTTTAGTTATCAAAGAATTTCAAAAGGTGCTAAGAAGGGCAACCAAAGTGATCAGGAGGCTGGAACAACTCCCATATGAAGGAATGTTGCAACATGGGAGGATGTTTTTTAGATTAGAAAAAGGGGAAGGGCAGATCAATCATAAAAAGGTGGTAGGGTGAAAAAGTGAAGTGGTCAAATGTCTACCTCTTCCAAAGTTTTGCCTCTTTAGCTCAAGAAGCTTGATTGAGATTGCTGTTGGGGGGCGGGGGTCCAGCTCCAGACCACTGTAGCTGCGGGCTCAATCTTGGGAACTGATCCACTGGATGCAAAGCTGTTCCCACCCTGTTGCTGCAGCACTGCCAGTGGCAGGCTTGTGCCTGTAAACCTTTCTGCAGACATAAGCAGGGCCTCTGGGGTGGGTATGCCTCTCTTCACTGGCACAAAGGCACCTTCATGTTATCCTAACCCCTTCTCAGCAACGTATCAGGCATGAGGTAGGGAAGGACTGTGCTGTAAGAGAATTGAAGTTTTCTTGTTCCGGCAGCCAAACACCTATGTTTCAATAACCTCCTATCCTTTATCTAATTTGATTTCCACTTCATCACATTCACACAGTAATACTTATTTTTCTTGAGAATGTTTGGTAATGTATGGTGGAGTAGTGATATTTTAAACAAATATGCAGCTTAGGATACCAGTCAGTTACTGAGCGGCAAAGAGTAGGAGTGCGCTGGTCTCTTCATGATCGTCTTTGTGGATTTCCAAGGAGGCTTCTGGTTAGTCACTGTAGAAATTGGGATGCTGGTAAATGAGATAGCTCCAGTGGGGCTCTTCCTATGTCTTCATCCAAGCAAACAGCCTAATCCCATCCTGGGTAGATCATGCACTAGACAGTCATCATTAGCTCTTTGTGCTACAGATGAGCAAGCTTCCAGACAGAAGAGAAATGTAGCAATAAGCAAACAGATTGGTGATACCAATAGCGTTGGGAGCCCATCCCACACACAGGTTTAGGCAGCCACAGATAGTGCTTTTTCAAGTGTCAACAGCCTCTTTTTGTTCTTGCCCTATACTGAGGGATTCCTATAGCACAGTCTAGGCTTGTACTGAGATAAGGGAAAGGAGACATCTTGCTGGGTCTGGGGTGCAGCGACAGCCAGAGGCCCAAGCCTCTCTGCACCTTTAGAAATGCCCCTCGAGAAACTTATTGAGAGGTTGCTTCATATACCCACGCACCTCACAATTTAAAGCTATTCTTATTTGCTTGAGAAGGGAAGCGACAAGAGCAGGCGCTGATATTATCATCGTCACCATCAGCTTTGGTTGGACAAAGGTAAGAAATCATCACGAACAATTCCATATACACGACTATAGCCAGAAGTGGATGCTGTTGCTGCTGAAATGAAAGCAGTTCTCCGGTGCAATGAGATGATGATGATGAGGAGGATCACGATGCTATTAAAACAAGTCAATGAAGCGAAACAGCAGCGAAAGGGGACGCCGCAGAAGGGGGATGGGGAGACGGCGATCCTTCCCGCCCCGTCTGGGCCGGGCCGGGCCGGGCCTGGCGCGGCGCGTTGTGGCGTAGCCTGGCAGGGGCGGAGTCTTCAGGCCGGCCGGCAACATGGCGGAGGCGGAAGGGGAAAGCTTGGAGTCCTGGCTGAGTGAGTAACCCTCGTCCTCTCCCCTTCCGCCGAGCGAGGGGGGCGGCGGCGGTGGCGGCGGTATGGGCATGGGCATGGGCATGGCCGTCTCCTTGTGGGGCGGACGAGGCTGGCAGTCCGGTGGTGGGGAAGGGTGTGCGTGCAGCGCCCGGGCGGCGTGCGGCTGGGGCAATGACAGCCCGAAGGGAAGGACTGGAGGGAGTCGGTGGGGCTGCTGTGGAGGAAGAGCTTTGGGGGCAGGGAGTGGCAGCGGGGGGTCGTCAGTTGGAGGAGCTGGAAAAAGGGGGGAGCAAGTGCAGCGGCCGACCGGGGCTGCTTCTGTGCCTCGAACAGTTGTCAGGACGAGGAGATGTCGCTGGTTTGGCTTGAGAGACGCTTCCTTTTTTATTCAGTTGTAAGACATACAAGAAGTCCTTGCTGTGTTAGGCTGCCCTACCTGTGGCTGTCACCTGCTTCCGTTCCGTCTGTGCCTTTTGCCCTGATATACCTTGGTCTCGACTGGTCCATCCTTTCGGGTCACTATTGCTCGAAGCACCTTTGGTCTGATGCGTCTGTGAAGTCCAGTGCTGCTGATCACTCTGGTGCCATGTCATTTAGTCTGCCATCACCTACTTCTCTTTCTTACTTTAGCCCATTCTAGGGAATTTTCCTGTGTAAAAGTTTATGCCCCTCATGAGCATGTCCTTCGCTTATTCCATCAGAACCCATGTAAGGCACCTCCACCTTTGTGTTGTTAGTATCTGTCCTCAAATTCCTGTGGACATGAGTAAAGTGTATATGAAGTGTAGCGGTTTGAGTGTCAGTGCAACCTTGGCCACTCCATATTGTTCTGCTTACTCTTATTCAAAGGGTTGTTATGAAGATAAATTGTTGGGGGGAGAACCATGTGTGCCACCTTGAGGAGATGATGATGATGATGATGATGATGATGATGATGATGATGATGGACCTCTGTGGTTATCTAGGAAGACCACAGAACTTCCACCCACCTGTTTCATCTACATGTAGTGCCCCAGCTTTCCATCTTCTTTATAGAGATGGTGCATCATTTAGGAAAAACATGAAAACTGGAGCTACTGCAGTATAATGGCAGCTATGAATAAGGAAGACCCTCACTGAAATTTTGGATCATCAGTAAACGCACTAGGTGTCTTTAGGTAGGTGACTAAACCTTAGCAAGGCATCTGTAGTAAGGGGAAAATAGCTCATCTATCTTAGCTGTTTGTAAAGATGATTCCGATCATACTAGTGGCCAACTTTGAGGAACTGAAATGTGCTGTTAGCTATGTTCCTTCCCTTCTCTTCTCTGTAGTCCCAAAATATGGTCACTTCCTCTTAAGTTCAACTAATGTTACTAAAACATTTCATAATTAGTAGTTAGTTATACAGGCATAATTAGCAATACACATTTCCTGAGTATAAATAAGGACGCTTCCTCTGACTCCAGCAAGCTGGTGTTTGCTTATTTATTTATTTTAAAATTTTCTGTATTGTCTTATATTTTCAAAAAATCTCAATATGGTGTACAAACAATTAACACATTAGAACTAGACAACAGTGCTTGAGTTAAAATACAGTAGATTATACACACACACACACACACACATTTTTAAAACTGGATAAATAAAAAGGTTTTGGCCTGGCACCAAAATGAGTAAAGAGTCAGCACCAGGCAAACCTCTCTGGGGAGCATATTCCACAATCTATTTAATTTCTATTTATCATGTACTTCTTTTATATCATCCAATGTATTTTATGATCTCTGGGCACAGACTCATCCCAGTTCTGTGCCTTTTTGTCTGGATAGACCAGGAGTGAGCAAAAAAACTGTCCTCCAGTTGTTTTGGCCTACAACTCTCATGATCCGGTATCATTGGCTGTGGTGGCTTGGGCTGGTGGTTGACCACTTCTGGTGTGCCTACCCCTCACTTTCTGACACAGTTCTCACGTATGATGATGTATGATGATTGCCAATTTTCTTTTATTCTGATATGCAGGTTGGCTTTTCCAACTTTTAGTCTATTTGAGGAGAGGTTGCCATTTCCTGAAAGATGTGCTCATCCACATGTTACTCTGCTCTGTTCATCCAGTCAATTGCCATTTCTCCTCCCTGAAAAGTCTTTTGGTTTTACATGTTCATTTCCCCCTTTTTTGGCTATTTCCCCCTAAATGTTGCCCCTGTTGTCCCTAAATGCTTCTAGAGCGAGGAAAAGCACAAAAGAAAGTTATTCCTCAGGTTTTTTTCTGAGTGGAGTTGGGAGTGAGGCCTTGTGTTTTGCCCACTATAAAGAACTCAGCTTCTTCTCCAATATGGATCCAACAGAATCTTATGCACATGAATCAACAGTGCACTCAGACTGAGATGTCAAAGTAGAAATGCAGAGTTACAGTTGTGGTGGACACAGACTGCCTGAGGCCTGTCCCCATTAATCAATGATTCTCTTCTACTGAGGGAAGGTCAGGAAATTCCATATATATTTTCCTTTTCTCCTTTTCTAAATGACTGGTTTCTTGGCTATAAAAAATATCATCCTGATGGTTTCTGTTCTTATATTTTCTAAACTATATTTTGGTATACCAAATCTATGAGATTCTTCACTTGCTGTTTTACATTATAGAATACATTATAAAGGAGATAAGTAAATGTATCACAGATGTAAGAACATGAGAAGAGCCTGCTGGATCATACTAAAGACCTATCTAGTCTGCTCCTGTTTTAGCCAAACAGGAGCAGCCAAACTATAGCCAAAGGGAAGCTCAAGAGAGACCCCAAAACAAGGCATGAAGTCAATAGCTGTTCCTTGCTGTTGTTCTCAAGCAACTGGTCTTCAGATGTGCTGTCTCTGATCCTGGAAATAGTAGCCACCATTAGCAACTACCGATAGCCATTAAGGTAGTTTTGTCAATAATAATAGAGTAATAATAGATGGATCAGATACTGAAAATTATAAAGCTTTCCCAGATGCTGTAAGGAACTGCTTTAGAATGTTCAAAATATTTCAAGTACATAATATCAGTTTTCCTTATAATAATCTTGTAAGGGAAGTTAATGTTGCAGATGGGAGGCTGATGCTGAGACATACTGGCTTGCCTAAGGCCACCTAGCAAGTGCATGGCAGAGGCAAGATTTATATCATGGATTTCCTAGCTCAGCCTCTTAGATACTCAAGTACACTAATCTTTTCATATAGTGGTAACAGATGGTCTTTTAAAAAATTGCCTTTGTTGAAATGATGTCGTGTTGGACAGAGCTAGCATTTATGGATCAGACTCCTCACTTGTGCATGTCCTGAGGTGATGTAGAATATTTCCTTCATATTAGTTTCAGTGGAAGGGAAAATGCAAGGCTCTGCCTGAAAACAAAATGTGAAGATAAATGCCTCCCACATAAATCTCCCCTGCCACTCTTCAGGTTTGATTTGGTTATGTTCAAAATAATGGACCCAGTGCTCAAAATCATGGGGTTTGCCCAGATGCATAGGAATCATGTGTTTAGAGCTCCTTCACATATTCATGATCAACACTTAATGACTGTAGTCTTCAAGCTATGACTTGCACGTGTGAATGAATTATCATTGTTAAAATAGCACAGGCAGCTTGTTCATATTTTTTCTAGAATAATACATTTTAGTGGATTCTGTTCACATGTTCAGCTGAGACATCCAACACTAGAGTAATAAAGTGTTAGGAAAACAGTATTTTACTGATGCTTGTTTGCTACCTTTGGCTCAATTATTTTGGGTGCTTTCAGTTGGCTTTTATGCTATTTAAGTATTTAATTATTTGCAAACTACTTTGGATCTGCATTGTCCACGGCTCTTGCACTGTCAAGCTGACTTCCTCAATAATTTTTTAAAATTGCCCAGCGATTCTTCCTTATAAAGTTCTATCTGTGAATTCGTTACAATTATGCACACTTCACGTTGTTACCAGAAGGCCTAATGCTATCAGCTTAATGATGTGCCTCCTTTAGATTCAGCTTCATTAACACCATGTGTAAACCCTCTGAGCAGAATCCAAATCTGCTTTTGCAGTGTACCTGAGAACATGAAACAGCTCAGCCTGGATCAGACCAGAGGTCCATCTGATCCCAGTATTCTGCTTCTCACAGTGACAAGATAGATGCCTGTGTGAAACCCACAAGAAGGACATGAGGGCAGTGGTCCTCTTACATTGCTGTACTGCCTGTGAACCTGACAGCTGTATGAATGTCATTTTTGCTACTGGCAGCTGTTTTAGGTTTCAGTTGGTTATGTTCAAAATAATGGACCCAGTGCAGCTGTATCTTTTATGAGTTTGTCTGAGTCCCCTTTACAACTGTTCAAATTGGCAGACATCACTGCATCTTGTGATAGCAGATTCCATAATTCAACTTTTAGATAAGTGAAATAGTACTTCCTTTTCTCTGCCCTGTATTTTCCCACTATTTGGCTCCTTGGGATAATTACCAGTTTTCTACTATTATGAAAGAGGGAGAAAAGCACCTCCTTTGCTACATTCTCTATTATACATAATTTTATACTCCTGAAATTAAATTTGGATGTAAGTATTTTGAGAAGCAAAATTTAGATTTTGTTTGGTTTTATAGCATATTTCATTGCATATCAAGTACTATAATATCTTTTCTCTGTCAGGGGCAAGTATTCACTAAATGTCATCCACATTTGAAAGAAGTACATAAATGAAATAGCAGAGAAGAATTTCTGTGTCTAAGATGCTAGAAGTTTAATTGGGAGGTCACATGAAACTAGGTAATATCAATATACTTGGGGAACAATTGTACAGGGATTTTGCTAAGAAACACTCCTGAACAAAGACAAGAATTCTTTAGTAAATTCTGAAAGCTGCTCATGGTTTCCCCAGTCAGAAGTGGGAGGATTTGTCACTGCCATGGGCTTCCAGTTTTCCAGGTGGAATATGTTGTCATCACAGAAAGCCAAACACTGGCTCTGGTCCTGACACTGCAGAGAGATAAGTGATTACCCAGCAATGTCTTTTCT